TGTAGGAGACAGTGTACTGCCTACAGTTAGGATTACATAAGTAGTTAATGAACTTTGTCGGTCTACCCATAAACTCGCCGTCCGCAACGTAGAGGTCTTCTTCTTTAAGGCCTTCTAACTTAGCGAACTTGTCGAGCGAATACAGATAGAATGCTTTTGCTTTTAAAGACGAGGTTTCGCGACGCGTAGCTTCGGCATCTGTTATAACTTCACCGCGGTAGGTATTAATAAACTAGCCCTCGTGCAGATCTTGTTTGCACCAGAAACCCTAGCTAGCGAGGGTGATAGCGCCCACACTAATAAAGACATTAGCTAACGTCGTCGAGCATGTCGTCGGCATCTTTAAGCCTAGCAGGTTCAGCGTCACTCTTCTTAAGATAATAACAAGCCTCTAAAGAATAGGTTCACGAGCGAGTCAATAGTTAGGAACTAAGACAGAGTAGGTACAGAAACTGTCTAAGCTATAAAGGTACTAACATTAGATAAGGAAGAGGATGTCTCTTAAGAAGGAGAACCTGCTCAGAAGGAGAGAGATTATCTGCGCGTTAGTAAATCAACGTGCTACTTGTGCTATTACGCCGACTGTACACAGTTTAGCGTCTTGATACAAGTGTTACATAACTGTCACGGAAGACTAATTAACTAAGCGCTGTTCCTAGAAGATAACCGCACAGTATACAAGCTAAGCGTAGCCAACAGCTTTAGCAGCAGGAAAGAAGTTAAGAAGCTCTACAAGAGTTAGGAAACCTAGAACACAAGAGAGCTCGCTAATAAAATTGCATTCCTAAAATACGTAAGAGGTAGCGAGAAGGGTCGCAGGACAACGAAGAAGAAGAGAACCTAATTTCGATAGAAGGTAGAAAGAGCTTGCGAAGGACATCGCGTTCCTAAAATACGTGAGAGGTAGCGAGAAGGGTCGCAGGACAACGAAGAAGAAGAGAACCTAAGGTTCGATCTCCGCTCTCATCTTGTGGTAAGTCCTTCTATACCCTAGTCGTTTCTAGAGCCTTTTTGTCTTCGCTATCGCTGATTACATAAACACAGATTAGCTACCGCTCTTCTTCTATAACTTTAGGTTTTCCCTTTACAGCTCTTGTAGCTTCTTCTAACTACGCACTACATTTATATCTAGATATTAGTTCAGACAAAGGCGTAAAGCGCGTTAAGTACTAAAGTTTATTTTGTCTTTCCTGCATCAATTCGGCGTGTGCGTAGTGCGTTAGCTTATTCCAGCAGTTAGTAACCCCTCTAGCCTACCCGTTACATGTTTCTTCCTCTCTCTCGCTATTCTTTATTAAACCCCTACTTCTAGCTAGTAGCGTATGCCCTAAATAGAGACCTGCCTCTGCAAGTATCTAGCCTAGTGTACAAATAATAAAAAGTGCTTAAAGGGACTGGGCAACTTAGAATACTAAAGAGGATTTGTTTAGTCTCGTGGGGATTAATTGTATACTAGATGTCATGCGCATTGTGCGTTCTAGATTCTTGTTCTTTTAAAACTTCTTCTTCTGCAGGTGCATTTAGATCGAAGCCGGATTCTGCGCGGTAGGGTATTGGCTTTCCTTCTTTAGAAGCCTGTTGCTTTCTAGAGGTCTTGGATGAGGATGTTAATTAAGCTCCACCTCGTGCACTCTTTGAAATTCTTGCAGGTATCCTAACTTTAACGCTTAATCCCTAACAACGTAGGATTAACACGATTAGTGCTATTACCTCTAGCTTTGAAGAGAGAAGTGATAGTATTAGGCTGTCTTTTTTATCGTCCGAGGCTGTAATATCTAGGAGGTAGTCACGGCTGTTATCCTAAGGTTCGTGCATCTAACCGCGGTTAATAGAAGCTAGAAAGAGCTTGCGAATAATATCGCGTTCCTAAAATACGTAAGAGGTAGCAAGAAGAGTCGCAGGATAATAAAGAAGAAGAGAAACTAAGGTTAAAATTACAGATATTAAAAGAGTTTCTTCTTTCTGCACAATTGCGTCTCGAATACTACTACTCTTTCTCTCTTAGAAGGTCCCGGAAAGCAAAGGGAAAGTAATGCCTTTCTTAATCTCTCCTCTTATCTTGTAGTAAGTTGTGCTATGCTATATTCAATTCTACAGCTTTTTTGTCTTCGCTACCGCTAACTACACAGACTATCACTTCCTCTCCCCCGTTATCGCTTAGCAAGCCGCCGTTTCTAGCTAGTAGCGTGTGTCCTCGAGAAGGACCTACCGTAGACTAGCATGCTATTTAAACTGTCACGCTAACGCTACATAGTTCAGCGTTTCTACAAAAGTATTTTATAACTATTACAGAAGATAAACACAATGCGACCGACGTTTAGGCACGCTTTAAAGATCTAACATGTCCGATAATAATAACACCGCCGACGCTAATAGCTCTTCTCTAGAGGTAACGTACTAGGTCCTTAACAGGTGCTAGCTAAGCAGTAGTTTAGCCTAGCGTACAAAATACTGCTTAACGCTAAGCAGAAATAGTCGCTAGCCGCTATACCGCCGGGCATACCTCTCTAACCCCTGTATAACAGCTTCTTACTAAAAAGCGACCCCGCAGTTCGCTGCAGAACTCAAAGGCACAGACTCTGCCGCAATATCGTAGCTCTAGGAGCAGAAATAATAAGTGCGACTAAGTAGCGACCACATAGGTTAAGAGGTAGCAGGGGTATAATAGTAGATTAGTACGGGTGTAGCACCCGCGTGCTGTTAGCGCACGTAGAGCGCCTGCACGCCGCGGCCTATACGCAGCAAGGGGAGCACTTTAGCGTACAGCGCACGGCATCATTAAAGCTAACCCGCAGCGTGCTGCGGCGTGTACGCAGCAAGAGACGCGCAGTAACGTGCCGCGCATAGCAGGATAAACAGCTAATCTGCATGCTGTGTTAAACAACTGCGCTAGCATTAAAAATAAGAATGCACGCTGTTATAAATAGAGTAATCGTTAGTCTTCAAGTTGTGTCTACTAACTGCTATTAAGAACATGCCTAGAGCAAGCGCCTCCCCACTAAAGACTCTAGACAAGACGCGGCACGTAGTTTGCATCGATCTTACTTAAGATAACAAACCTCTACAACGTCGTCATGCACTCTTAACGCCACTAAGCCTACTAGCGCATAAGCTAACCTGCGCCGGCCTAAACAAACGCCCCCGCGAAGAGGATACCTTCCCTCTTCCGCGTCCACAACAACAGCGCCAGAGCCTTACGCTAAGGTACCCTAAGAGATATTTCCCTACGCCTAAATCGTTCTCCTCGCTAGGCGTGTACAACGTTCGGTTGTTAGACAACCCTTAACACAACGATGTTACATTAGAGGAGCTCCTTAACATTAAGACTACAGACGAAGTAGTCTTATACTCCTATGCGTAGTATCTAAGATAGTTAATAGAAACAATGCGACTTAACTCTATTAAGTCTACGTAGATTATAGATTCTAGAAGCGTTAAGGGCTAGACCGCGAGCTAAGAACTAAACGGAAAGCCTCGCAAGAGCGGGAACTAAACAATCTATTACCCACCTAACCTGCAGTTGTACAGCGCGTGTTACGCAAAGTTCTTTCTTTCTTTTAGGAAGAATAGAACGTTGCAAGTTGTTATAGCTTTAGCAAATCTAACTCCTAATAAATAGGGTCATAAGGGTTACGCGGATAATAGAGAGAAGGCGTCTACTTTAATAGACAACGTCGCCTTTGTAGTAGACCTTCCCTTGCGGACTACGACAGTAGTAATACTAACTCGGCCTAACTTTTAAACCGAGTTTTAGGATTTTCTGCAATGCCTTTAGGTTTAGCTGTCGTTGCTAGCAGCAATTAATCGATACAACTTCAGCGCATGCGCGCACCTTAGTTTTGTATACACAGAGTATGTTGCACTACTATAAGTATTAGTTCTAGCTAATAATAATCAAGAGGTCTAAGAGCAGCTCTGTCTAGGTTTGAATCGCTAAGGCGCGCTATAGCGAGTCTTAGACTTACGCTAGCAAAACAGTATACACACCTTATTCTATATATGTGTTACAGCACTTTAATAATTAGCCGCATTAGCGATATATTTGCTAAGCAGCTGTTTGGCGCGATTCGTAACCGCGAGCTAGAACAAGTAGTTATTCAGAACGCGCTAAGGGGATTGCGTATTTATTACCCTTCCCGCTTATCAGCACTCGCTACCCTAAACTGCGATCTACGCCATATGTTCCACTTAAAGAAACTAGCAGAGGGTTAAAGAATGCACTTAATTCTAGATTAATGCTTAGTAGATATAAGAAAGAGGAGGTAGCTCACGCACGCGAAGACGATATAGATCTAGTAGTAGAATAACAGCTCTAGCGTAAAGGATATAGTTCCGCGCTACTAGTTAATCTTTGTAGGTACGCAGAATATGTCATTCTTAGCGTAGAGCAAAGAGAGCTACGAGTGCGGAGTGCTGTTCCTAGTAGCTAGGTATCTATAGGATAAAGGTATTCACGCTAATGTTAGCATAGGTAGGTTATCTTATAATATAGACGACGCGTGGTTTAATAGATAGACTAAGAAGAAAATTAATTAGACTTAAGGCAAGACCTGTGTACCTTGCGGTAGGACGTAAAAAGCTGTAGCTCCAGGAGCTATAATAGGGTAATAGGGTGTCCTAGTGTTGCACGCAACGTCGCCTTGCACGCAACGGAGTTAACTCTAATAGAAGGTATCTATAAGATAAAGGTATTTACGCTAATATTAGTATAGGTAGGTTATCTTATAATATAGATAACGCGTAGTTTAATAGATAGACTAAGAAGAAAATTAATTAGACTTAAGGCAAGACTTATATACCTTGCAGTAGAACATAAAAAGCTATAGCTCTAGAAGCTATAATAGAGTAATAGAGTGTTCTAGTGTTGCACGTAACGTCGCCTTACACGCAACGGAGTTAACTCTAATAGAAGGTACTATAGAGTAGAGGTAGTTTTAGTAGAGTCTTAGCACAGATAGACCGCGAAGTATGCACCTACGTTACACCTAGTAATATTATACCTAGGCCTACTAATATTATACTATAAGTTACTAATATCGCACTCTAATATTACTGCGTACGTACTAGAATTTGTATAATAATAGTCTATTATTCTCTATTCTAATAAAGTTAGAAAAAAACTTAGAATAGTTATAACTTTTTTTTAAACCTAACTCTAAAGTCTATACTATAGTAGACCTTAGTTGTAATTACCTGCGAAGCAATGCGATCGCGAAACAGCCTTTGCGCATTGCGAAAAAAGATGCCTACACGCTCGGAATCGTCTACGAACCGCGACGTCTTAATACCTACTAGCGAAGGCGCATACGTGAAGACCGGCGCGTACGGGTAATCCGTCCCAAACAACAGATTCGACGCCGGTATGTCGTACGCAAGTAGGCCACCAACTTGGTGGAAGTACGTCGGGCCCGCGGAATCCCAGAAGAAGCGTGTCTGCAAAGCCTCGAGGGTGCGGTCGTAGATCGCGGGAAACGACTTCAACAGGCGGTCTGCGACAGACGGGAATGCGCCGCCGACGTGTGGGATGATGTAGTTGATGTCTGTGAAGTTGAGAATGGTTTGCGTGACGGCGAGGTCTTGGAGAACGCGCGCGGTTTCGAAGTAGAACTCGATGTTGCCTGTTGGGTACGTCGTTGGGTTTGCTTCGATGGGTGAGCCGTTGATGCGCAGGTAGGGCGTCGTGGGGTGAACGTAGATGATCTGGTCGGTCCCTCGCGCATTCATGGCTTGGAAGAAGGGCGTGAAGGCAGAGTCGCCAAGGTATCGACCTTCGAAATTGGAGTAGAGCGCGATACCTGCGGCTTCAAGCGTGTCGAGAGCGTACATGGCTTCAGCGATTGCATCCTGGGTATATGGGAGCGGTACAACGGCGTAGAACGAGAAGTGGTTGGGGTAGACTCGCGCATACGCTGCGGACTGCTCATTAATCAGCCGAGCAAGCGCGATGGTCGCTTCTCGGTTCCTGGGATACACGTTTGCGCCCGGCGAAGAGAACGCCACGACTGCGTGCGATATGTCCTGGCTCAACATGAAGTTGAGATGCCCGCTGACGTTCCAAAATGGTGTCGGGTTCCCGCCGACCGTTGGAACAATTGCGCGATACCAATCGGGAACGCAATGCGCTATGAAACTCTATCAGGCCGGTCACCACATGATAGAGAAGGATAGACGTACCATGAACATCGATGATGGTGGTGGCATTTGAGCTATTGCGCTGTGGCAGTTCTTGCGCCTGACTATCGAGGTATGTTGACGCGATGCTGTCAAGAGCGGAGCTGAGGTTGAAGCCAGGTATTGCCTCGAGGTTGATGGAGTCTGGACGCGAAAGGTCAGTTGCATTGCGACGTCGTCTGCAGGTGCGTTGCGAATACCAGCGGTGGCGCGTTCCTGGATGGACTGAATGATCTCGTCACGAGTTGGCCATCCGTGAACAGAGGCGCAGAAGGCAGTCGTCCACGTCAAGGCGACGAGAAATCTCGTGTACGTCTTCATCCTGGCGTAGAAAGAGACGAAGGTGTCGCTGCGAGAGCGGGCATGCGCCTACTTATGTAATGCGCATCGCTATAGGGTACGCCGGCAGTACATCGAAAGAGGAAAGTCTTTGAAAGCCTCATATGGTCCTTCATTCATCGGTGACACCGCGCAAGCGATGCGTAAGCAACGCCACTGCATGTCAGCACGGGAGCGTGTAAACAGGCAGCTGAGGCCAGACTAGACCCGAAAGGCTGGACCTTGAGATCTATCAACCGATGTACTGCTGTGCGACTGAAAAGCTCACTGGCACGAAGTTTAGATGCGCTTTTCAATCGAGAGACCTCGCATAAGGACATGGCTTCCGAAGCATCTTGAAAGCGCGCAACAACAGGAGCGAGCGATAGACGCTTCACATTAGTTCTCATTCACCCCGGTCGCCATAGCACGACGAAGCCGTGCGCAGCGCATTGCAGATTGTGATGCGGGATCTGGTAACACATGCGTCGAGTTCAGCTTCGCAACCGCTTCCATGTGCCCTGATTGTGCTCGACGAAGCATTTGCGACGAGTACGACCCCAGGGTGCAGACCCATCTATGCCTCTCGCTTCGCCCGTATGTCTTTTGAACTGTTGCGCGCCTATTCGATATGTAGCTCTTATCGGGTTACCGGGTTAGTCACGAATGTGCGGCGTTTGGCGGATTGTGCTCACACCATGCCCTGGTGCAGTGTCCGATGCCGAGGAATGAGGATGAGACCATGCATCGGTGGCTGGCTCGGATGCGCGAAGGCGTGTGGTGCGACGGGCGCCTTTTCGAATTTTGGGGTCGAGATTGGGCGCTGGTGGCTGATTGGACGGGCGCATCCGCCTTTGCGAGAGCGTCGCGAAGTCAGTGCACGTCCCACCCCCACATCCCGACTGCTCTACCGATTGCGACATATCTTCCTTCACTCATGGACGGCACAGCAACTATACCGCACTGTTGTGCGCATAGGAGTGCCATTACCGCTGCTGCTAATGGTAAACACGTTGCTGATGTAGAGGATAGCCTGGGTGTGTCGCACTGTGGTAAGCACTGGGCATAACGCATTGGACCTGTGGTGCGCTCTCTGGCGATATCTGACAGCACTTCAGCGCATGTAAGAAACCGGGGTTCTACACTATCCGCTAGTTGACGAGGCTTTCGCTATCTTGCATCGATATCGAGAATCACTGCGCTTTCCTCACGACCATGGTAAGAAGATGCAGAACACATCAGAACCACCATAGCAAGATCTTCATACGAGGTAGAAGCGACTATAGTGCGCCTTTCGTTCTACTCTGCGAGCACCTTCCCATCCTTGTTCACGATCCTCACCCCATCCAACCTCCCATCAATCTCCACCTCCCCCACTACACCATTCTCAACCCACCCAAAGTCTACAACCCCACCGCCTCTTAACCGCAACCCCTTCACACTCCCCCCACCCCAACTCTTCGGTATCGCAGGCCCCAAAACCACAGTCCTCTCCCTCACATCCCCCGCAGCAAGCGGCATATCCGCAACAAGCATACTCAACACCGCGCCTCCAAACCCAAAGTTCGCATCAATCTGAAACGGCACCCTATCCCCATCATACATACTTAACCCATTCCCCGCAAAGTTCTGCTCAATCGCATATCTGAGCTCGTAGTACGCTTCGTCCGTTTCGTTGAGGCGAGCCCAGCAAGCGGAACGCCAGACTTTCGCCCATCCCGCATTCGCCTGGTTGAGGGCCTCACCGTTGCCGTTACCACGACTGTACAGTTTCTGACGAACGGCGTCCTGGACTGCGGTGTCGGTGTAGCCGTCGAGGAAGGAGGAGATTGAGTAGCCGGGGTGCCAGCCGACCAGTTCGGAAAGGTGGCGGTGGGTGTCGTTGATGAATTCTAGGCCGTAGGGTTCCTCGGGTAGCTTCCACTCTTTGATCTGGCCCCAGGAACCGATCGCGAAACCTTTGTCAAGCCGTTGGAGGGAGTCGGTGATGTTGGTGACGAACGCGCTGTCGGTCTCGTTGACGGTGCGGGCAGTGGAAAGTATGGCGTCGAAGACTTGGTGGATGAGTTGCTGGTAGTGCGCGCATCCGAATGTTGTAGGGCCATGCTCAGGGCTGTTGCATGGGTTCACGACCAGCGAGCCGTCATTGTTGAACCGATCTTCTTGCAGCTGACTGAGCCAGAATTCGGCAACACCTTTCATTAGCGGGTAGCCCTGATCACGCAACCAGGCTTCGTCGCGCGAGTAGTCCCAATGGTCGAAGACATGCTGCATCATCCAAGCTGCAGAAAGCGGATAATTCGCCCACTCCGCTCCGCTCTTCATGCCCGTGTGGCCGAAGATGTTCATCTCGTTGTGAACCACCCAACCAGGTGCGCCATATAGCAGCTCGGCGGTCTCGCTGCCGCGTGGGACCCAGTTGTTCGACATGTAATCCCATAGTGGTGATTGGAGATCAGTCAAACCCGTCTGGTCGGCGGTCCAGTGGTTCATTTGGATGTTGATGTTGGAATGATAGTCTGCCGACCAAGCGGGTTCGAGGCTTTCGGCCCATCGTCCTTGAAGGTTCGGGGGAAGAGAACCCGGTCGCGAGCTGGCGATGAAGAGATATCGTGAATAGTCGAAGAGAAGGCTTTCGAGGTATGGGTCGCCGGCTGTGATGTTGGCGTTGTAACGTGCGACGAGCTCGGATGTGGGTACTTGAGATGAGTTGGAAGGATCGGGAAGAGATAGCGTGAAGCGGTCAGTGAGAGAAGTGAGGTCCTCCATGTGACGCCCTTGTAGATCCGACAAAGGTCTGGCGGCGGCGGCGAGAGTCGTGGACTCAACGACCGGGCCTGGATCTTCGCCACGGAAGGAGTAATCGTACTCCGCTGTTCCCTTCCTTGCGTCGTAGTTCGTTTCAGCGCCGACTACTATCGTGACGCTGTTCGTACCGTTGCGCGGGGAGACCATCAAAGACTTGGCTTCACCATCACATACAACTTCGATGCCGGTGTCGTATGCAACTCGTGCCATCACGTCGTATCGCATACCTTCAGGTGGGCCAAGCTGCGTCAGGGCGCTCATTCTGAGATGTCCTGGACTCGTCGCATTACCGCCGGCGCATGTAATATTGCGCAACTCCGGCTCAATGAGTGCATTGTCCAGTCTCACATCCAGCGCTGGCAGCCCACCTGACGAGCGAACCGAATAGACGCAGACTTGATCTGGAAACGAGCAAAACGCTTCCGTCTCGATAAGGCTGCCGTCTACGCTGAATGCCGTAGTGTGGACGCCATTGCTCAGGTTTAATGTCCGCATATAGTCGGTAACATCGGCACCTGCTAATGACGGGATGGTCACACTCAAGTTTCCTAGCACTTGGTACGAGCCATACGAAGCGTCTAAGCCCAGCAGTTCCGTCACGTTTCCCGTTCCATTGGTGAAGATCCAGTCGCGGATGCCCGGTAATGCTGCTGCTTTGGAAGAGGTCGGGTTACCACCCGTGTAGTTCTTTTTGATGAGTTAGTGTCGGTTGAAGGTCAATTGCCAGCACAGAGTCAGCGGAGCTTACAGATGCATTGAAGGGACCTCCGGACCACAATGTATCCAAGTTCAGGGTGAGTATCTCAGCACCGGGAGGGCCCATCGGCATGGCACCAAGACGTCCATTGCCGAGAGGATATGTGGTGCGGATGATGTCGCTACCATTCGCAGGGACTGTCGACCACAGTGATTTCGCATTTGACAAGTCAACCAACCCACAGGTCGCTAGAAGCGAACCAATCTGGGATAACCGCATTATCGGTATTGACGAATTGATTCGAAGCGGCCTTTATCATGATCGCAACACGGCGCCGCTGTGGTCTTATTGTATGTTGGCGATCCATGTGACGTTGTGCAGCGGGCTTGGATCTTTTCCGGGGTTAGTTGCGGGGAAGTACAGTATGTACGGATGGCGATCGCTATAAAGATCCTCCGTGAACGACTTTCTTGGAGTTGTTCTTCCGGTGGCATATTTGGGACATCCAGAACTAGCAACTCTCGCGCAAAGTAGGCCGAGCACTCAAGGATCGCGCATCGCTGATAGGTTGACTACTTCGGGATCTAAGTCCGCCACAGACACAACCGAGAGACATGATGGACGAGGCTGGTGGGGGTATCAATACGTTGTCAGCACATTCTGCACCTTCGATATCTATATGCTAGAGGTTGATACAAGCAGGAAAGGTCAATATGTCTAGTTTCTTGTCCTCTTCGCCGAGCGTTTTTGCGGTAAAAGGACGTGAGCTATGGTGGATGTCGTTACGAATGGACCCGAAGCTGATTGGATGACGTGTCGCTGACGGCCACAGTGAGTATGACCTGAATCGCGGCAACTTTTCGATGCATTCGAACCCGCGCGACAAGCGACATGAAAGCGCCGTGTTGTGGTGGTAGAGCGACTTGGGTGTTGACTGGGAATAGGTGGCGGCGGGTGATGATGTCTTCGTCAGGGCGCCAGCCAATCGGCGTTTGGATTGGCCGGGACCGCGCTAACATTCGCGGACCCTCATGTCACGATATGGCAGCAGCCCGCCAACACCAATTGCGAGTCGACAGCCCAAGATGAGGACGCCTTACACCTGCCGACAGTGTCTCTCGGCCCTCAAGACGCCGCGGTCTCAATTACGGCCGTCGCAAGGCCTCCGCCCGCTCGCGCCCAAGGTGTCGTCGCAACGCAGTCATTCCACCAAAAGTGCAGCACCGCCAAAGCTTGCCCTGCCCAAGCGCAGCCTCTCGACGACGCCGGCCCGGGCTTTCGAGAAGCCGTTCGAGCCGTATGAATACATCGATCCCGAGGGCCATCGGCGGAAGCTGGTGCTGACCGAGGACAACCTCTTCAATTCCTTCTCCGGCTCGCCAATACCTGAAATACGGAAGCGTGCGGCCTTCATGCGCCAGCATGCTTACTGCCCACATCCCTCGCATCAGCCGACGCGTCCGGCGAACAACCCGATGGACCTTGAGGCGCGCAAGTCCTCTGAGACCGGCGCCCCGCCAGCCCATGTCGACTTCGAGTGCCCGGACTGTGGCATACCGGTGTACTGCTGCGAGGAACATTGGGCGGATGATTACGAGGCGCATCTGGAAGTGTGTGACGTCCTGAAGCAGATCAACGAGGACGATCACGATCTGAGGAGTGGGCGCTTCTTCAAGGAGTTCCAGTTCGCGGAGCCCCAGATGGAGGAGATTCTGGTCAACATGACGAGCTGGGACACATACATGTACACGCGAGACTTCGATGCGCTGAACGAGGACCGCGAGATGCGCCAGGCGACAAAGCTGTTGACATACCCTATTACCATCGCCAGTGTATTGAACGAGCTGAGTCCCTACAACATCCGGAAGAATGGGCGCATGACACCTGAGGGACTGAAGAGCTTCAGCGGTACGTACAGCCCATCGGGGAGATGAGATAATACTGACACAACCCCAGCCCTGCGCCACACCCTCCACCCACCCCGAACCGGCGGCGGCGACACCTGGAAGAACGCACGCCTCGCACCCCCTTCGGTCCGCCTCTTCATCCTCGGCGCCCGCGCAGAATCCTCGCTACCCCGCGAAACCTGGATGCAACTCTCTTACCTCTTCCACCGCGTACAATTCTCGCTCAACTTCATCGGGCCCGAGAGCATGGCGAACCGCGAGAAGGAGCTGCCACTCCCCGAGCGCACGCCTCTAAACCCGTTCGGCGCCGTCGTCGAGGACCGCATTAGCAACTCTCTCAAGATTAGTACCTTCGTCGAGTACTACCACAACATCCACAAGACGGGCTACTTTTACCCCTACGACCCCTACTTCGATTGCTTCGTCGTTTTCCACCCTGGGTTCGGCAATCCGGCCTCCGCGCACGAGTGGGAGGAGACGCTACCCCTCCTCCTCGAGACCAAGGTTCCTATCATCGCGACCGGATACAGCCCGTGGGATATGCAGCAGGATGTCGACTTCCTGAAGAACAGGTTCGGGAATGAGATGGACATGTTGCTCGAGCCTGGCGAGAACTTGTTCAGGAGTCTGAGATGGGATCTCAATGATCTGGACCCGCATGATGTTACGTGCAGTAATTGGGGTGTGTACTCTTTCCGGGGTAAGAGGTATGAGACTACGAAGAAGGAGGATGACGAGGAGGTGCATAGTGAGAGGACGGCGTGAGTGGAAGGTGAAGGGGGTATGTAGATATGTACAGTATTGTATATCGCACTTCTGCTGCGCTTGCGGATGATTGCTTCACATTCTACGGTTCGGACTATGGTGGTTTCTGCTAACATTGCTTGTATGCTCACCACTCAAGCCTACGAAGCAGGGTCTTGGCTCTCACTCTACATCCTCCTTAACCTCTTCGTCCTCCAGCCAGTCATCAAAACCACGAGCGGCGAACCGGTCCAGCGCCTTATTCTGCTCATCATTCCACGGCGCCAACACCCAATCTGTCCCACCAGACTGACACTCGGCCGCATGAGTATACACGACTCGTCTCTCCGTCTTGTCGCGCACAAAATCACGCCATTTCTGCGTACGCGTCCGCCAAAGCATGTTGCGCAACACCGGAAGGCATGCGACCTCGCCCACACAGTATTTGACGATTTCATCGGGTAGGGGCCGGCTGTTGAAGACTTCAGGCGATCCGCCGAATTCCACTCTAAATAAGAGCTCGCCCGCGGCCCCCTCCCTGCATAAAGTGTCATAACGGTAATACGAGATCCCAGAGTTTTCTCGTTTCACGCAATCGGGCAGTTTGCTGAGATACATCCTCTCTTCAGCGGTGTCCCTCGCCGCACTGTCCATAAGTTGTACGTCTTGTACTCCTTCGAGGGCGATGCCGTAGAGTGCGAAGAGCGCGGCGGAGTCAATGCGCACGTCGAAGAAGACTTTGGGAATGTTTGGGTCTTCTAGGATCTGCTTCATCGTAGTTCCATTCACGCCCCCGGTGGTGAAGGCTTGCGCGCCGAGTCTATGCACGTCAATGAGGTAAGTGTGCTGCGATGAAGGGGGGTCGTGGATTAAGAGAGTTATGATGGAGATTGTGCCTGTGCGACCAAGGTTCACGCCTTCGAGAGAGATATGAATGACCGGGCCTGTCAAGCGCATCATCTCGGGCTTCGTGGATGGACATCAACTTGTCTATCAATTTGACGATGGCTTGGGGCGTATCGATCATCTCGGGGTTCACCGTTGTCATGGCTGGTACGAGGCTTCGATTTTGGTGGGATTACCAATACCGACGACTTCGTGCCTTTAAGCATCGCCTGCATCTCCAGCACTTGCTGCTCCGGCAAGGAATTGCGGTTTGATGAATGCCGCCTTTCGAAGTTTGCGATATACCCGGCACATCTCAGGTATTTGCGTCTCCAGGTTTGGTGTTGAGCTGTGAGTGGTCCACCCAGCCTAGCGGCCAAGATGAACCACAGGACGACTACCCGGCTTCAGCATCCCGATTACACGCTCATCGAAGCGTCCCTAGGTCATGTGGTAATGCTGGTGCCTGGAGCATCACAAATGCTTGGTCCCCATGCTGATGCGCTCCTTCCTCCTACATCACCGCACTTGCATCCTTACCTTCCAACCGTCCTATCAACACATAGCAGCCGCCACTATATCACGATGTCCACAACAAGCTTCTCGTCGTCACTACTCGAGCGAAAGTACGACCAAGCTGCGCCGCAACTGCCTAATCCCCAAAATGTACGTGACCTCGCGACCGCACCTGCCACCCGCACCAACACTAACCTGCCAGTCACGATACCTGATCCCACGCCTATCGCGCACTCTGCATGCGTCACTAATCGCGTCCTACAACCGTCTCTCTAACGTCTTGTCCCGCAGCGACATCGAGCAAACGGGGAAGCCCGCTGGTTTTCGAAACCAAATGCGCAAACCGTGGAGGAGACATGAGGACGCACTACCGCTCTGCCCGGACTGCGGCGCTATGACGTTCGCCGAATGGGAGAAACGGAGCTGCCTGAGTTCGTTCGAGATACACCCATATCGAGAGCAGACACTGCCGGAAAAAGCAGGATAACGAAGATATAAAAGCGTCTGGTGGAAGAGGACCGCGCGATGATAGCATCAATGTTAACAACTTCGGCGACCTGCCCGACGCTCTCCAATCCGTAGAGCGGTGCGCGCGAAGACGTCAGCCAATGCGCTGTAATACAACGACATCTCGATGCGAAAGAAAGACCACAGAACGAAGACCGTCTCCGCCACATTGTATGTCAGCACTGGAAAGATCGCACCAATTACACACGCCGCTCAGCTAGCCCTTTTGACGCCAGAGATAAAGCCATTAACGGTCGCTAGGAGGCACACATGGAGCGAAGACGAGAGTTCCAACGCGAGGAGCGGCGAACAAAGATGGAAATGAAGAAGGTGAAAGACTGTTGAAAGTGTCGGGGAATTAGAGAGTATCCCACGCGCTCGTCAGCTGGGTCATCGGTCCGACCCCACATTGCTCGCTTCTCCGCACGTCCCCTCGTTGTCCCCGCGCATGCGTATCACAGCATCCAAGGCTGCACTGGAAAATCGGCATCGATTCCAGTGAATTCTTGGCATCGTTGGGATAGTCTTGAGCTCCCCAGAGCGTTGAGATGTCGATTCGACTAACTGGACCGTCAGCCTTTGTATCGTATAAATAGTAGTAATAACGATACCCTCACAGTTGCATCGCGCTCAAGTGCAGCGCAGAATTTTACTCGAACAAAATGCTCCAGCTTGTTTTAATTCTTCTCTGCTTCGCATCCATCGGCTTAATCGCAGACTACATCCACATACTATGGCGTCGCCGTCATCTCCCTCCAGGCCCCTTCCCATTTCCTATTGTCGGAAACCATTTCCAAACGCCTTCGTACAAGCCATGGATCACATGGGAGAAGTGGGCCCAGCACTACGACTCACCCATGATGACTCTCTGGATTGGGCGGCAACCGCGCATCATATTGAGCGATGCATGGGTCGCGAGTGACTTGCTGGAGAAGAGATCAGACATCTTCTCAAGCAGACCGCGTATCATCGCCATGGGCGATGCAATCAACGCGACGAATACGAATCAGACTACATTGCCATATGGCGATCGATGGAGGAAACATCGGAAGCTCATGGTAATTGACCCTGTGTTGTCTCGTTTGCTGTAGAACGAACTGACAGCGCAGCACATGGCCGTCGGCTCTCAAGCCGTCCGCAAGTACCGTAAATTCCAAGCACACGAGTCTGCTATCTTGATCCGCGACTTCCTCCTTGAACCACACGATTTCGAGCTCTCCATCGAGCGCTACTCCGTTTCGATCACCTCGATTGTCGGCTGGGGTCGTCGCATCGATCGCAAGAACGACTACGTTGCGCAACAAGCTCTCAAGTTAATGGAAGCCGTCAACTATATCGTCCCCGGTATCTATCTCATGGAAGCCGTTCCGTTTTTGATGCATTTGCCTGCTTGGCTCTACGCGTTACCGAGCCAGATGCGACTGGGTGCTGGTATACTGTCGCGCTACTTCTACCTGCTCACACAGGAAGGCGCTGAAGCGAAGGAAGACAACTTTGGGAAACATGTCATGGCGTCTCAGCAAGCCAGCCATATGACAGATCTCGAGGTTGCGAGCCTGATGGGCAATTTGATTGGTGGTGGGGTAGACACGACCAGCAGCACTGTGCTTTCGTGCATCCTGGCCATGGCGCGCTTCCCGGAAGTACAAGCGAAAGTTCACGCTGAGTTTGATGCAGTTGTTGGTCATGATCGCTCTCCAAATTGGGATGACATTGATTCGAATGCGCTTCCATACTTGACTGCAGTGGTAAGTTGCCAGCATAACAAATGTCGGCTTCACTCCTAACAGTCCGCAGGTCAAAGAAACCCTCCGATGGAGAACCGTAACGATACTAGGCGGCATCCCTCATGCCAACACCGTCGATTTCGATTACAAAGGCTACCACTTTCCAGCCGGCACCAACTTCACAGGCAACATGTGGGCCATCCACAGACATCCGCGCGACTTCCCCGACCCGGACAGATTTATGCCCGAGAGATTCCTCGAAGGCGAAGGCAGCGCGAAACAGCCCTATCCGAACAGGTACGGCATGAATCCTTTCGGTTGGGGGCGCAGGCAATGTAGTGGCCAGCCGCTTGCCGAGCAAGGTCTTCTTTACTCGCTTGCGCGTATGATTTGGGCTTTTGAGATTTTGCCGGGCGTTGATGAGAATGTAAGTGTTCCTTAAAACACCCACGTGGACCATTCATGTTTGCGCCGCTGACACATTGCGACAGCAACAGGAAGTCGACTTGGACATCTTCGCATACACCGACAGCGAAAACATGCGACCAGAGCCTTTTCGTGTGCGATTCATTCCTCGCTCGGACGCAATCAGGAAGCTGCTGTTGGACGAGGCTGCAGAAGCGCGTGAGGCGTTGAGGTCATACGATGGAGAGACTAGAGTGACGATGGAGGATGCTGTGAATCATCCGGCAAAAGGTTGAGTGCCTCCAGGTATTGCGGACGACTAAGAGCACTTTTTGATCGCCGCGGACGACGCTTCCGCTACTGCACCTTGCATCTAGGCCATTCGAGATTCTTGATTGTCGGCGTGTCGTTCATTCAATTGTAATGCTAACGTCGAGATGGATCGCAATGTGAGGCATCACAAGAAGTGATCATCTAATCTTTCTTTCTTTCACGTCCCATCGTCCTCAGACAAGTGTGATAGCCTTCTCTTCTGCTAAGCAATGTGCTTCCATGATCTTCATGGCCGCGCGAGAGCCAAAGAGCCTACAAAGACCGACCCGCTCGAATCGATCCGTAGCGCTATCGGCTGCTCTTACGACCAGAGCTTCGATACAGTCTGATTCCCTATGATAGGACGATGTTTCTGTATCCTCGTCAAATTCATCGTCGACATCACTTGCCAATCCACCTCTCTCCTCGTTACCAGAGCGTTCGATACCGTCAGATGTTTCAAAATGGTCCCGGTGGAGGCATCGCTGTAGGATTATCATGTAGGTGTCTTCCGGTGCAGCGGAGAAAACCCAATCTCCACCGTCTTTGTGGAACTGGATGGCGGGAAATTCTCCCCCATGACTAACTACGCGATTCAACAGCTTTCCCCGCGAATTGAATAATTCGATCGTGAGGGATGTAACCTTCGCAAGCACAGGTCTACACCTTACTTTCAACAGCACGCTCTCGGGTTGCCCCGAAATCTGTGCCTGAACGTCCGGATCTACAACAGCCGCCTCTCTGCGTCTGTTTGCATGCTTGTAGTGAAATTTGAACAGCATGCTGCGATGGATTTCAGCGTCGCTGCAAGCCCAACTCCACGTAGGTGCTCTCCAGACTTTCGGGGTCGATGAATGTTGTGGCAAAGTCCCGCCGTATTCTTCGGTCCAGCATAGCTCTTCGTTGATATGACTGAGCCAAAGGCCTGCCATAAACTGGCTGTCTCTGACTATTTTTATCCAATTAACTATGCCTTGTATAGCTACAAGCTTGTCTGTACTATACGTGAGTGCAGCGGCAGAATACTGATCTCGGAATGTGAGCCAGGCCCAGTATGTCTTGTCGTCCAGGCTTTGGGCAACACAAGTCGGCGCCGAGCCCCCAGCCAATGGTCCTTCACTGCGCATTAGATTACGAACGCGCTTTTTTAGTGAAGTGGCGTCATATCGCCAGAATGACCGTACCCACAATGGAAGGCCGTTGGGATATGCTTCGCAGGCTTGAGACTCGTTGCATTCCCAGAAGAGCTGGGTACCGGTGAAGTGCAACAGCCGTCGCGAGAGCTGTCTTTCCTGACTAACCCAAGCTCTTTGGTTGAGCGGCGCGCGTTCGATGCATACTTGGGCTAAGTGATGAACATCATACACGTATGACCCTGTTAAACATAATTCGGTATGCATGTCTTCGGGCCAAGAGCCTTGCTTGTCGAAATCGGCACGTCTCGGTCCAAGGAGTTTCGCCGATATGTCGTGGAAGAGGCCACCTCTACTATCCTTTGCAGCAGTAGCTGCGATTGTGCAAGCTGCGTTTGCATATATATTGCTCATTCGCTGTGATTCAGCTGCCCAGTCGGATTCGTCGTCTTGTAAGATACGCCTGCAGAGTTGAGCTTGGATCGCACTCAGTATTTGGGTAGCTTCTTACATTGAATCAATCCAAATGTATTCAATGCGAAGGCGTCGAGTGACATGTATTGCGTCCTGATACGTTCTTGGCAGCATGGTAGAATCCAATCCTTCCGCTAACATAGAGTGCGTCTCTGAATTGAGCATGCACAATCTGACATCTCCCCAACAGTGCGAGAGACACGCGTACTCTTCGTCACAAAACAACGATGCGTCGCATAGTCTCACGGGGCTGTCTTGCCCCGTACCGACGTGCAGAAGCCGTGCGGGATAAGCACCTGCTAAGTTGCGCTTTGGGAGCTCACAACTCACGTGGTTGTTGTGGCAGTCCTCGATTTTGTCTAGCACAAAGTTCATGGTCGATTCAGATGCACTAGTAGACGTAAGATCCTCCGAGATAGAGAAGTCTTCCGTGGCTAGAGTCGCAATCAGTGATTACGCAGTACTATCGAACGTGATGCCCACCTGACCACGGGATCAATGCTAGTCTCGTGCTATGGTAGTCACCGTACATCAGCATGTCTCCGTCTGTGAATTCCAGCGTCACGACTTTGTCATCCTCGTGGTACATTAAACATCCTTTTATGTTTGTCTGTGGCGCCAAGTCAAGCCAGGATAGCGTGTCCGAGCTGTAGCAATGTGAGAGACTGCAGATTGCACACGGCAGACTTATTGCATTGGCGAGCGAATCGCGGTCGTTGTGATGTTGGAACCAAATGTAGCTTTTATCTCTGCCGAGGGTGCCGACGACAGACAATTCTCCGCGAAGGAGACGGCGGCATGGTTCACAATACAAGCCATTGGGCATGATTCGAGACGCGGACGTGATTCGTATCGTAAGGTAGGAGACATGTAATCTGTGTCTGAAAGCCGGTGCAGAGAGCAGAATGTTGCTGCCTGGAGAAGAGTGACGGATGACGTCATAGGCTTACGTGAGGCGATCAACTCATCCAGAATCCACTGCAGCTGTGACTGTATTAAGCCAGGGCTACCTAAACCGGTGCTCATGGGTATGGCAAGGTCTTACGCGCGACACTGAGATTACTCTCTTCGTTCCTCCCACCTCCTCTCAACCGTAATAGCCCGATCGGAATTCTTCGCAGCCCTCTCTCTATCATGCTTATAAACCGACGAAATGCGCACAACCTGACAAGTCTTGACCGGCTGCAGTTCAATCTGCGAAGAAGCATCATTATCGTCCACCAACTCCGAGAACGTCGCCGTCGGATCGTCATGTCTTCTGCTGCCTTTCTTCAAGAAGAGACTAGTCTTCTTGCTACTGTCGTAGTCGAAACTGGATCGCGTCACGTGGTTTGACTTCCCGAACAAGGGGCGCATGAGTGGGATACATGCTAGAACGATGGCGACAGCGGGCTCGAGGCCGGAGAGGATTGTCGCGAGAACGCCGGTGTATGTCATGTCCATGAAGTCTAGCCCGGGGAGAAGCGTTTGGCGGTATATGGTGATGGCCCAGGTTCTGCGCGACGTGTCAGCATGAATTCAGCACGACTCCTTGGGCGGAAGCGTGTACTTACCCTACTCCAATGCTGAGGAGAGCCATCGCGGCCAACTCCCTGCGCCATGCCAGTCGCAGCTTGTACAAGTATGGCATTGGTAATAGGATCATCACGGCGTCTGCGATGAGGTTGATGACACCCATTGCGAAGTAGAAGTTTGGTTGACTACCGCAAGTTCCGGGCAAGTTGAAGTTCCAGTTCTTCGCCAGCGGCCGGCATATCGCGAGAGCTGCGATCATATCGGCGATGTTCCAGGTTATGATGACAGCGCCGAGAATACGGGCCCATTGCACCATGGAATCCATTGGTATCAGTGTCGTGTACATTGAGAGGACCGACAGTTTGCTGAAGCACACGGTTGCATTCCACAGTATCGCAAAGGACATGATGCCCTATGGCATGGCATATCAGAGCTGGCAAATGCGAGAGGAAAGTCGGAGGTCTTACCTTGAAGAAGAATGTTGCTGTGTCAGGCCCAAAGCGCTGATAGATATCAAGGGTATGGAAGCCAAAGCCGCCATAGGTGACTAGCGAAATGCAACATGTGTGGAGTGCAGTATTGCATACCTGGCAGATTTGTTAGCATAGGAATGTAAGGCTTCCCAGTCTTGACCTACTAAGGCGGCAAGAATGCAATAATCGCTGTAATCGATTCGATTGGCGATCCTTTTGGCTGCCAGTCGCAGGCCCACAGCGACAATGACCATCAAGATAGAGTTGGAGGAAGTCACGAGGATGCCGACTTGTTGCCCATTCTCGATGGGAATCGTATTGGTCATTGCAATGGGTTCGCGTAGTGAGGTTGTGGCTTGGAAATGCCCGAGCGGCGTGGTGACTCGTTCGAAACAGACGCAGCTGGACCCGACTACGGGGGACGTATGATGAAAAGGAAGTCATGTACAGCGTTCTTTGCGCCTGTATGCACAGATCTAATCTCAGAGCGTTCCGAAGGAAGTGCTTCCTAGCCGTTACCTGAGATTAGCATCGTCAGAACGGACGTTCTCACATTGACCCAATGGCTAGGGCCTGACGATCAACATCCAACAGCGGCATGCGATATCCTAACGACCAATGCAGGTGATATCGCATAGTCTGCCCCTGCATGTTACGTATACACAGGAGGTCCGTTGCCGCTTAGTGGTGATCCCGTGGGGGCCTATGTAGTTTCCACGATTGAAGGCGCGACATTCGAAAAGAACTGTACTGCGATGACGCAGAGCGAGACGAGCCACTCATGATTCCCGAATTACATAACCACCACATACGCAAAGGTACTCCTCATCAAATGAGAGAGATCGCAATCCTCAGAGTCGAAAAGAACGGTGGTCAACTTCTTCACACACTCTCTACAACAATCTTCTGGTTGCCCATGCATTTCAGCTGCGACGCATATCCGATATCTCGAACTTGTTTGCCCAATATTGGATGATATGCGTTTGGCAAATAGCGCAACAAGAGCATGCGAATAGCGCAGGAAACTACCCCTCCATGAGCGCTGTTACGGGAAAAGCATTGGCGGCGCGAGCCTCTTGTGTGCGAAGGATCGCATTCCCTGTACATAGCTATGTGAAGTCACATCGGAATCGCTCTAGGCCCCACACTTAGCGTGCCCCCACCTCCTGTTCGGTAGCTGGTTGGGAACCGCGCCGCATTGCCAAGCCAGCGCGGATGCGGACGACACGCATTATCGGCTGTTTGTAGCCTGCGGCACGGTTTCGCGAAGGTCGAATAGGTAGTATTCAGCGAGCTTGGAGTAAAGTAGGCGTCGTAAAACGAATGGAGTGTCGTCTTTGCAAGATGAAAAAAACATCGCTCACCTGGACCCAGAGGGAGGAGTTGTACTCAGGTATGGAGCCCGTGGATGTCGACTCCCGCAAATGTCTAGGTCGAACGGCAATGGAAGCGTAAGTCGCGCCAACTCCTGCAGCTACCGAATCCTCTGTGCAACGGCTCGGAGAAATGATAGGAACAAGCAAGTGCTCCCTTTTGGGGCATGACGAGTAGCTACTATGGGTGCAAAGTGGAGAGCGTCGTGCCCTGGTACTGAACCCAGATGGAAAGTATCGCGTATGCATACAGGCAAAACTGTGCCCCGACGTGCCGCTCCCTGTTAGATATAATGCATCATCGATCCCAAATCCACCACGGACTGTTCATCTAATACCAAGAGCTGACACCATGGGTTCCGTTTCGCAGGATGAACGCAAAGTCGCCATCATCACCGGTGGCTCGGTTTGTCAAGTCGCATAACCGCAGTTGATCTGAGCTTGCTGACAGATTCCAACAGAGCGGAATCGGTTCCTGGCTAGCAGCCCGGTTGCAGGCGAGAGGCTACCGTGTCGCGATCTGCGGTCGACGTGAAAGCGAAGGCAAAGAAGTCGCTTTATCAATTGATGCGACAGGAGATTCGGTCATCTTTGTCCAATGCGACGTCAGCTCCTACGCCTCGCAAACCAACCTCTTCCAAACCACCTGGAACAAATGGGGCCGCCTGGACGTTCTGATTGCGAACGCGGGCTTTCCTGATCGTGGCTCCGTGTTCAACCTCAACCGCCGCGATGCGCCCATCGGCGACTTGCCTCCCGAACCAGATACCAGCTGTACAGACGTCGTGGTGAAAGGACGAATGTATGGCACGACGTTGGCAACACACTACATGCGCCACAACCCAGGGGGCAAAGGTGGCAAGATCATCATCACAGGAAGCATGCTGGGCATATATCCATGCCACAGCTTTCCAGAGTATTGCTCTGCCGAAGCAGCGACAGCAATGTGGACGAAGACAACCGGACCTGTTCTGCTGGCCAAAGACAACATCTCCATCAACTGTTTGATGCTCGGTCCAATCGAAACTCCAGTCATGCCTGGCTTTAGCAAAGCCTTTCACCCCGAACACATGATGCTCCAATCGACCCTCTTCGACGGTTACGATCTGTTCCTGGATGACGAGAAGAACCAGAGGACAGGGCAAGTTGTCGAGATAGCACACGACAGATTGACAGAATGGGGACATCCGGGCTACAAGAACGGAGCTTTCTCGAAGCGTAGCGAGGCTGTCTTCGAGCCATGGTTTGCCATGGTGCACGGAGAGAAGAGCGGGTTACCAGGTACAATCCACGACTGGCCGAACCGCGGCAACAAAATCATCGCTGTGACAGGCGCGACAGGAAGCCAGGGTGGCGGAGTAGTCAACATCATGAAGAAAACGCCAGGCTGGTCAGTCAGGGCGATCACCCGAAATCCGGACAGCGATGCAGCAAAAAAACTCGCCGCGGAGGGTATTGAGGTTGTAAAAGCCGATTTCGAAGACGAGGCATCGTTGCGAGCCGCCTTCGATGGCGCAAATGCCGTCTTCGCGGTCACGAATTGGTGGGAAGCGCTCTTCCGGGGCAAAAGCCAGCATGAATGTGGCGAGATCGAAGAGCAATATGGCATGAACCTCGCTCGGGCTGCCGCGGCCACGCGTTCCGTTGAACACTACATTTGGTCGACTTGCCCAAGCGCGAAGCGTCGGTTCTGGGACAAGATGGAAGCGCCGCACATGGACTACAAGGCTAATGTGGATGCTCGCATCAAAGCCGAGTTGCCGCAACTTGCTGCCATCACGACTTACCTGTACTTCGGATACTATCCGCAGAACATGGCGTTCTTCCCACTCTGCAAGCCCTTTGAATACGTGAGTCTGGCTCAGTCCTCGGTTTATAGCACATTCAGCTGACATCTGATCCAGCCCGGCACCGGCAAATACATCCAAGCGATGCCCACGAAGCCCGACGCCAAAGTCCTTGTAGCCGGCGATATGACAGTCAACCCCGGCATCTGGGTGCGCCAAGTCCTTGTCACTGGCGGCAAAGCCTATGGTAGATACGCGAATGTTGCGCTCGAGAAGATGACATACCAGGAGATGGTCGATGTATGGTCGGAAGTCACTGGCAAGAGCTGTGTCTTTGCTGAGCTCAGTATGGAGACGGCGGCCAAGTTTTACGGCAATGTGGGCAATGAACTGGCGCTCCAGTTCAAGTATGGTGAGGCTTGCGATCCTTGGGAGGTCACCGAGGAGCATGTGAGCCCAGAGGAGCTAGGCATAGATGCTGGGGAGGTCGTTGGGTTCAGGGGCACGATCGAAGGCCTCCACGCAGCGGGGTTCTGGGCTTGATGCCAATGTGTATTCAATCTAAAGCTCGTGACACGTCGATAGCGTAATGTAGGCGATTTACGACTACCTAGGTGGTGTCGGGTCTCTGGAAGATGAACTGGCGCATGTGACGAGGGTTCGCGTGTCTGGACGGTCTTCTGTAGCAATGGGTCAGCTTTGTGAATCATGAAGACAGTGATGCGACATACAGTAGCGCATTCAGTAGTGACCACGGCCCAATGACCATCACATGACACTTTCGTTGTGGAAGTTGAGAAATCGGGGTGTCGCGTCTAGGGCAGCGGCACCTATGTAAAGGGGATGCCACGGGCACTGGTACGATTAAAACTTTTTTTTATATAACGCGGTCTGATTAAACTGAGAACGACAGTGAATCCTGATGTTGGTTGAATCTGGAAAGCAACCCTCCCGGTCGGATCAAAGCGCATCTGCATGCACAATGGGTGGCTCGTGCAGACTCGGCTTACGACCTCCCTCGGGCGCATGCCAGGATTCTGGCGCTGCCCATATCTTCTTGCCGGCGACAGTATCTTTCGGGGCGTCTGAGATGTGAGAAGAGTTGGAAGACTCCGCATCCGTCACCTGCGCATCCTTCTTCGCTTGTAGCTCAACCTGCGCATCGATGTCGTCCTCATTGTCGAACCAGGACGGCGGGTCCAGCAAACAGGGAAGCTTAGCTGGAGCCTTCTTGTTCCCTTTCTCTAGATGCGCCCCTTCGTTGAGGTTGTCGCCATGGTTCGGTGGGCTGCGAGCCTTGCTTCTCGAAAGGAGAGGACGCATAAGCGGTATGCAAGCCACAACGATCATGACTGCGCACTCGAGGCCACCCAAGAACATGGCAATGGCCATATCCGAGTATCGATTGACCTTTCGCCAATTCAGACCCCACAAGCACTTCTGGCGATAGATGGTGATAGCCCAGGTCCTAGGGTCCATGTGAGCATATTGCACACGATGGAAGTCTGTCTGGTATACGTACACTATACCCATTCCTAGCAAGACAATCACAACGATCTTCTTGCGCCATGACGTCCGCAGGCGGATCAGATACGGCATCGGAAGTGCGATGATGATTGTATCGATGATCAGATTCAGCAAGCCCATGATGAAATAGAACAGAGTCTGGTTAGGGCATTTGTCTGCGTTGATCCATGCCATATTGAACGGTCTGCAAATCGACAATACTGCAATCAGATCTGCCACTGTCCATACGACGATCGTCGCGCCGAAAAAGCGACATATTACGCGCATGGATGCGTTGGGTATGATCGAAGTGTACATGAGCAGGACCGAGAGCTTGGACAGGCAGGCAGTGACATGCCAAGTGCACACCGCGACTAACGTGCCTTTGGAGAGAATGCGCATATTGAGGATACCAAAACGCTGTAGGAGGGTTGTGAGTTCAAGGCCATAGCCTGCGTGGAAGACAAGGTATAAGTGGTTGCAGTTTGTGGCTAGGTTGAACACCTGTCAAGTAAAGTCAGTAACTTTGCTCTGCAAGATGCTCCCGGTATCTACGTGGGCGATGTGATGCATCAGAATGCAGGATGAAGATGGAGGATGAGGATGCAGTACCAAAGCTGCTATAATGCAATAGTCGCTGGCGTCGATTCGTTTACGGATGTATTTGGCCACAAGACGTAAGATGACCGCGATGGTAGACAAAGCGATCGAGCTGACCGATAAAGCGATTGTCCAGACCTGCAGTCCGATTTCGATTGTGAAAGCCATACTGGGCGAAAAACCCGCCTTGCGAATATGGGTAGTTCAATGGTAGATAGAGGATGCGAAAATACTGCTTCGTCGAGTCATGACGGGGGCTTCAAATACAGTCGTTACAACCTCGACAACATCACAATGTCGATTGTCTGCCTCTACACCCTTCCAACGGACGCAAGCCACTCAATCCTTCCGAACGGTGAACACTCGAGCCTTCCGAACGGTGAACTTTCGACCCTTTCGAAGGGAGGACATCCGAAGAGCTCACTCGATCTCGGCATTGAGTTTCTCCAAAGGGATCTCTGTATACTGTAAAGTTCATGCTATTGCATCATGCAACGGTGGCCAAATCGAGAACAGATGCATAATGTAGATGGAGCAAGGCACAGGAGTGGTCCATGCGGAGTCCCGCGGAGTTCACTCGATCTCGGCGTTACAAAGGGATCTCTACATTCTGTAAAGTTCAAGTTGGGGTATCATGCAACCATAGCCCAATCGAGAATGGATGCATGATGCAAGTGCAGTCAGACGCACAGTGGTCCGTGGGAAGATGGAGGAATGATATGGCGGGCCGCGGGAGCGGTTCGCGATCGGAACGGATCTGGCCACCGGGAAGATCGGATCAGAGGCCACCTACAAGTAGTGCGTCTCCCAAAAACGGGGAGTAGTCGCATAACTTAACTAAGAACCTGCTGCAATGCATACTGGATGAAAATAGATCTATCGCGAGACATGTCAGACATCTGGAGATCGGCACCTTCTATCAGGGCTTCTTCGATGAGGCGCTCGCGCCTGTTCTGGAAGATGTATTGACGATGACGACTGGCCTGCAGTCTTTGAGGTAGGGCTGAACCCTTGGTGATTTACTCATATACTAACTTGGCACAGCTGGGGCACGATCATACCTATACCAGAGGGTGTCCTTCACCTGTTTCACACGATGCATCCCACGGCTCGCCTGCACGTGACGAATCTCGAACGGGAAGGGAAGCCTCTGGGTCGACGTCTACTCTCGTCAACGCAGCTTCACTCCCTCCGGTTGAGCGTTTACTACGATGAACTAGACCAAAACCTTTACCCAGAGGGTTGTCGCAGCGAGCTACGAATTCTGAAAGGTTACCTGATGCTCGGCAACAGCATCAAGAAACTTGATCTGAGCTTCGAAGACGCTAAGCTTACGATACATGATAAAGCGCTCATTGGTCTCAAAGACTGCGCGCATGGCCCTTTGAACTTCCATTGGCAAGAAGGAGATCGATTTCCCACGCTTGAGGAGTGGACTATGAGCGAGAGTTTCGCAGACTATGCTTACACGGCGCAACACATGGACATGTGGCATCGATGCATGGATTGGTCCCTGCTCCGCGTTCTTGATCTTGGCCGTTTGAACATGTATCCTTCATCTATGCTGCCGATAATATCGTTGACTGGCCATGTCCCGCGGTTCGAGTCTTTGAGTCTCGCCGTATTCAACTACAATGAAAATGCTAAGAAAGATCCAAAACGTTCACTGTCAATATTGGAAGAGTTTCTGCGAAATGTTTTGGGACTCCAAAGCTTGCGCCTAGAATGGGAAGGCATCCCGGACTGTCTACCAATAATATTACAACATCAAGGCTCGACGCTGCGTGAATTGGGCTTGGAAGACCGTGGCGATACAGCTCCCTGGAGCCACCAGCTCTTTTTCGACATACTGAGCAAGGCGCCGCAACTGTGCCATCTAAAAGTAGAGACGTCAAACCAACACTCTGAGTTCGAACTAGAAGGTAGGTGGTCAGGTAAAGCCGTCAACTCATCGCCATCTGAGAAGTATAAGAGCATGGAGCATATGCACATGAGCTTTCAGGTCAACAAAGCAAAAGCAGAAGCCTCTGTTCTGAAACGCTTGAATATGCCATATGTACTAAGGCGAGCTGGAAGATACGAATTGAGCGCCACAGGAGTCACTTGGATACGAAATTCACCGTAGACAAGGTCATATTCGTGTAATGTCTTCGATTCCAGGTTCGATTGTCCTGTTCCAACAAGACCTTTTGCATACCTAGGAAGAGGTCAGACCGCGCCTTTTGATCATCAACGTGTTACACGCTCTCCTCGCTGGATGACAAGCTTGTACAATTTACCAATTCGTATATTCTTCGTTCTTAAAAAATATTGATGCTTGAACCCAAGCACAGTCGCCATTACACAACACGGTATATCATCGTAATGCAGATGTATTTCCTGAAAACCTTGTTCTCGCTATAGGTACCCATATATTCTCTTAGTAGATCTCAGATAATAGCAACAATCATGAAGTCATTCACCCTCAAGAAAGGTCCCAACGAATCTCCATGTCAGATCAGAGGCTGGAGAACGAGACAAGACCTTTGCCAAGCGACTCAGTGATCCGCAAACCTAAGGATCTCGCAACTTCCCGCATCATGTCGATGACTTCTGATACATTGAAACCCTGAAGAGACAGCTGCTTGATCAGCGGACACCATGTGTCCTTGAGCTTAAGCATACCACGAAGGCAGTCTTCACTTAAGTCGACGTCGAAATGGCAATCCTGCAACTTCAGACATTCCAACGACTCCGGTAGGTGGCAAAGGTTGGTAAGTTTTCCGAACTGCATCGTTATGTGCGATAGCACCTCAAAATCGCGGAACGAGGGGTACACGTAGTGGTATGAGTCCTGGCCGTACATTTCCATGTCTTGTTGAAACTCCGCACTGCGCATATCGTAATAGCTGTTGTAGTGCAATTTCAGGGTCTTTAGAGTTGCTTTATGCTTTTCCAGTAGCGCGATCCCCAGATCTCGTGGCGTGACGAGGGGTTGGCTGCCTATGTCGACTGGCAACATACCCCCATGACGTTTGTCATCTGGGATGACGAATTTGAATGTTTCCAAGCGAGGACATGCCTCTAGAGCTTGTCGCATTGTAGCGAGTGGCCCAAGACTCCACCACAACTCAATCGCCGATGGTGTGAGTAAGTTCGTGGCAGGATGAACATCATTACCGGCCGATGCTTCGTTCTCGGTAGAGAATGAAGTGAACGATGGGTATCGCAGGAGCGGGATGTAGTCGACTATGTTGATTGGCTGGTTATCGAAATGCTTGTGCCTACAGCGTGTTGAGCGAGAGCGACATGCGCAGGATTCGGTGAGACTTACAAACGGAACGTTTCCAACCTAGCGAGGAAGGCGTCACTCGAAGCTCTCATCGCATGCATCCCTTGCAGTAGTCCGCGAGGAGGCAGATTATGTGTATCCATACGAAGATGCCGTAGATTGGGCAGACAAAGAAGTGTATATAACACAAGCGTCTGATACAACACGTTCTGTTCGCTATCCCAATTCTTAACTGCCCATAATTTCGAGAATTCTGAGAAAGTGGGATGGCGCATAAGGTCAGGTCCTTCGTACGGGGCTGGTCGATGGTAATGTAAAGTGAGCGATCGCGTCTTCTTTGCGAGCTTGGGGCGTTCGACACAGGTCCGCAAGAAGAGCTCAAGAGATCTCATGGTCTCGGGCATCGACTGTCCTAGTACCACGCAAGTGTAGAGCGCGGGTTGCGCAACAGCTGCCAGCGCGCGGGATGTTTTGCATAATTGCCATAGTGCTCTGACATCCGACCAGCGACCGGTTTCAAGATGCGCGACGATGGAATAGAGCAGTTCGTTGGATAGATCAGTGAGCTTTGCCATGGTTTGATGCGGAGTGACCGCCGGAGGTGTCGCAAGCCAGGTGCACGATATCAGGCAGCAACATTAGTAAGCGACGCTAGCTTCGCGGGGCATCATGGCCGGTAGGCACAACCTTCACCTTCACCAACGATCAAGTTCACGGTATCAGTCACACAGAAAAAGCTTTTCAGTGGTACAACAGAAATGAATTCAAGGATGACAAAAGAAATCTAACAAATCACGGGCCCTCCTTCCATTATCCCTCCCAACCAGCCCTAGCTTGCCAATGCAGACAGCCTACATCATGGCGCAAGGAGGGCACCGCTTCTTGCCGCACCTCTTCTTGTTCTCCTTGTGCTGGGTTCGCTTCATCGACTAGATGATAGTTAGCACATACCATATCAAGCCCATTCAAAGTATGACTTACGGCCACCTTCATGTCCTCGAGCAGCTTGGCCTCCCAAGCCTCATCCGTCTCCACGATGACTGTGGTAGCGTCAGTGCTGTCCTCGGTGACAGCGGCGGCAGCGGCGGCAGCGGTGGTGGTAGCCTCGGAAGGCTCGTCGGCTACGGTGACCATGGGGATGGGGAACCCGCTGGGGGGCAGGATGACGGAGGTGGACCAGGCAGTGACCGTGGGCCAGGTAGCCTCGGAAGGCTCGTCGTCGGCCACGGTGACCTGGGGGATGGGCATCCCGCTGGGAGGCAGGATTACGGAGGTATATGTAAAACCTGTCGGGGTGGTCTGAGAAGGAACCAGGCATGTTAGTCCATACTTCATGAAACAGTTGTAAAATGAATTGCTTACGGATGTGGTGAGAGCAGGCATTTTGCTTCGATTTTTTGCTTCAAGATGATTTGTGGTAGATGTCTTGGGATGAAGATAGAATATTGTAAGTAGTTAGGAGGGATAAGGCGGTTTATATAGAGATATTCTCACTTTCTACTGTAGTAGCGCACGGAACTTTGTTGGTGGTGTGTGTAGGCACGAATTGCAAAAACCTCTTCGCTACCCTTGAAATGTGGTCTCGCTCAACCACACAGATATATTGCAGCACCCACAATGCATACCAAAGCTCTTAAAATTGGAAGCATGGAGTAGATACCCTCTAGCCGTCCAATAGCGTATCTGATATTTTATGCCAGCCTGGAAGCGACAATGGTATCCATAGCCTCACTTATGCCCGCATCTCCACAGTTGAGGAATACAACTGGTGTGGTCATCGCAATCATGCCGCCCACTGCTACCCGTGGAGCATACCATGGCTGCGCAAAGCAACTGGAAGTTCTCCAATAATGGGATTTGCCGACTACCCAGTGATGTTCAGAATGTATGAAGCCAGGTTGGTAGCGACCGTAGTTACCAACACCTCGCAAAAAGCCCGCATCCACATACCTGGAACCCATTATCAGCCTCAGTACGAGTAGTCCCCCGTAGCATATCCAAGTAGCAAACCAAGGCTGCACGCGAGCCCGAGAAAGCGCTCATCACACCCATCCGCAACACGCATACTATCAGTGGCTCCCATAGCCACCACACCAACCTGCCCCATACGGTACCATCGTACCATCGCACCTTCCCTCCCTACCCACTCATCCCCACGCTCCCCAATATCCTCCAAACCGCGCACCCTCGCGGCTTCCAAACCGGGGAAAGATAGCTTAGCGACTCCCACACAACTTGCCGTGTACATCATCTCACTTTCCACTTCCCTCCTCCATCTTTCCTTCACCTCACTTCGCACGACGCAAGCCCAGACACGAACTGCAAGCTACCTTCCCAGACCAAACCACCAAGACAGCGCAACGCGACTACCTAACCCAATCACACCCACCAACCGCAAAAATGCACACCCCAACCATCCTCCTCATCGCGGCCGCCGCCAGCGCCGCCGTCGCCGCGCCCGTCACCACCATCAAGCCTACCGACTCAACCAACCCTACCAGCAAGATCAACCACAACGCCCCCGTCGCCGCCGCACTTGCCTCAGCCGGCATGGTCGACACAGAAGGCCACTGCATGCACCCTCCGCGTGCCGCCTTCGCCGCTGGAGATGCCGCCATGGCCGCTGGAGATGCCGCTACTGTTGCTGCCGCCGCTGCTGAAATCGCCTCTGTTGTCGCTGCCGCCCAAGCTGCCACTGCCCAGGCCGCTGCCCAGGCGGACGAGGAAGAGACACAAGAGCAGTACAACAAGAAACTCGTCAAAATGGACAAGGCGAGGGAGCACGGTGTTGTTTGCACTGTTTTGTAGAGTATACCTTACATGTAAGTTATTTCACACGCACGCTTCCGTTATAATCCAAGCTAACACGCCGGCAGTCTAGCGCCATCTACATGACAAATGGTGAGTTACACAAAGGAAGGTGATTTACATGAGAGAGTGGGACAATAGTGAGGGATACATGGCATAACATGGCGTTCGGCGCATCGTAGTGACGTTAATCGCGATCACGGATACGAACACGAACAACTGCGCTCTTAAAGGCTTTTCATGATGTCAATCTGATTCAAACATTACAAACAGTCTACACTATCATACCGTTGTGAAACATCTTCTATCTTCTATTGCCCCCGCTTATACGTGATCTCACAACGATGCGCCTTCGGCGCAATGAGGAAGAAGTTCTAGTACCAGATATTAGCACACATGTCACACACACACCCCACAAACGCATGCATGAACTTACCTCAAACTCCATACTCTCAGGCGTCGTGCTGGGCGCCAAACGGATACCACGGCACTCGCGGAAGAAAAACGCAGTCGCATACCGCAGTTCCATGCGCGCGAGATGAATACCGATACACGAGCGGGCGCCGGCGCCGAAAGGATGGAAAGCGAGCTTCGCCCCAGGCGACTGAGCTTCAGGCACCATTTCCTTGTCGGTGGCGATCCAGCGTTGTGGGTTGAAACTAGTCGGGGTAAGCTTGAATTACGACAGAAGTGCAAAGGCACGACTTACGTCAGAGGGTCGCTCCAGATCTTGGGGTCGCGATGCAAAGTGTAGGCTTGCGTATCGACCGTGACGCCCTGTGGGATGTAGTGGCCAGCGAACTTGGTACCACCTTGCGGTACCACTCTCGGCAGACTACTTGGCGCCGCACCGTAGAGCCGGAGCGTCTCTTCGATAACTGCGTTGAGCAGCGGAAGTTTGATGAGATCGTTTTCAGTGAAGTCATGCGCTAGCGCCGCGGTCTCAGCCTCGAGCGCCGCTTGCAGCTCCGGTCGTTGGAGCACCGCCCATGTGAGGTACGTCAGGGTTACTCCCGTCGTATCGGTGCCTGCAATGATGACGTTCATGGCTTCGATTCTGACGTCCATGTCGTCAATGTGGCCCTCACCTTCTTTCTCGCAGTCCTCGATGACCTTTGCGAAGATGTTGTTTTCGCCGGTGCGTGAGCGTGCTGTTTCGACGGCTTTGCCTGCGCCGGCGAGGATGAACTCGTTTGCGTTGAACATCTCTTGGATTGCTGGGACTGGTACGAAGCGCAGGAGGCGGAGGAATGGCATTTCGACCATGATGCCAGCTCCCATGGTGAGCTTTTTCAGCACGCGCATGAATTGGTTTTGCTACGACATGTTAGCTCTGGTGTGGCATCCGTAGTCGCATCGTGTTACCTCTCCCGATTCCAGCATGTTGAATGAGTCGCCAAATGCGAGGTGGGCGCTAACGTCCGAGGCAAGAAGCATCCACCAGTTGTACACGTCGGCTGTCGCTTGCGTAGCATCCGCCTTGATCTTTGTAACAGCCATGAGCGCTTTGTCTCTGACGACAGACTCCCAATGCTCGACAAGGTAAGTCCTGCTGAATGACCTGGATAACAGCTTCCTTCGCGGTCCATGCTCGCGTGGATCAAGCATGGTGAACACACCGGCCTTGGGGAAGTTCGCAAGGCGGAGGTACCATTCGCTTTTCATGTACTTGGTGCCAATCTTGTGGATCTCTTTGAAGGCATCCAAGTCGGCAACGGCAACCTCATTAGGTGATAGTCGTACAATGGGTCCATATTGCTCGTGGAGGGAGTCGATGTAGAAGATACGCTGCCCTGTTACGACTGCGCGCTTCAGCCGATAGTGTGTGAATCGAGTATACCAAGGGCCTGGCAAATGCTTCGTCCGACAGGTAAAACCAACGTAGAGAAACTGTGGTCGTTAGTGCTGGGTTGCGGAAGTGATATCTTCGCTGCACTACCTTTGCTACTAGCAGACCTATTGCCAGCAAGAATGCGTAGGCGAACGAAGCCATGTTGCGATGTAGTCGCTGGAACAAGAGACAATAAAGCTGATGTAGGTGCAGTATGAGCAATTGAAGCTCAGGAGTGCTATCAGTCGATTGAGGACTCGTGTAGATATGCTGTCGGCACGGTACTTAAACCAGCGCTACGGATCTATACAAGTCAGAATGACCTGCGTGCGCAAAGGACGTTCTCTTATCCATCTTCATTTCTTCTTTCGCTAGGCCAAACAGGATCAGCGGGCATCGTGTACCGGCATTGCTTTTGCGTACACCGGTCTACGGTCAACTGGGGACCCGACAAAGATAGCTAACGGTCCCTGTAGGCCTCCGACCATCGTCGCGCAACTCTGTTGTGACATTGCATGGGGGCACGCGAGCGGCTGTCAGAGCGAAGCAGGCGAATGACAGACGCAGGGCGCTCCTCCGCATCAAGATCTCCAGATGAAACCTTGCCGAATCGAGTATAACGTAGATTGACTGCGCCGAAACCCGCATGGTGCTTGCTGGTAGAGGGAGGGTACACTGGCTAGGGCCCAGGGTGCTCGTCTGAGGCGTAGGACGTTCTGGCAATGGCCCGGATAGACGATCGCATTGTCTTGACGCGAACTCCCGTTGCTATCTCTATCCGTTCAAGGTCGAGTTCGGTTGTTGTTGATGTGCTCAATGTGGGCAAAAGTCGCACCCCGCGGAAGCCGAAGCCAGCAAAGGTAGTACCAATCCGATAGTTCATAGGATTCGCAGAATGCGTCTGGCCTACTACCCAATCTCCGCAATGCGGGGATACTGTAGAATAATCAATGTGGAGGCTAGATAGAGGTTAGCAGGAGCGCTAGAGGCACATCACCGCCATGATCGCCGTTGGCTTACCGCAAGCTTCGAGTCAACGTTCCACCCCACCTCATACCGAACTCTACACCAAGCCATATCCTTGTACCCCGCCAGCTCGTATGTAGAATAGCGTTGTTGAAGCGAGTATCTCCGGGCGCTGCATAGTCGGAACAAGAGGCGCGTGCCGATGAGGTCCACGCGAACGCAGCCGAGAATCAAGGGAACCGTGGCCGGGTTGGGTGTTGCGGTGCGGCTTGCTTCTGTGGCTTCGTTGGGATGATCGGGTACTGAAGACGCGGAAGGTGGTCGGAACTTCGAAGGCGCGAACGCAAAGCTGTTGACTCAATCGCGACGAGAGCCCTGGACAACAGCATAATGTTCGCATCTTGCCAATACAAAGCATTGCAAAGACGTTCATGATACCTCTTACTGAATGCTCCCCAGAAGCGGGCTACTTCGTGCTGGGAAGATGCCTCGTATCCGGCTGAGCTTCTGCACACTTCACTAGGCGTACCGGCTTCTCAGCGGACAGGCAAACACCAGGTACGATGGCGTCGCTGAAAGGTCTGGCCGCGAACAAAGTCAGCTCAGGCCGTCATTGTGACAGGTCGTTGATTACATTTGGCGGCGCATGCTGGCTGTCGCGATGCGTTGCGTTGACCCCGCGCAGTCGGCCAGCCATGCGCGCAATCCCGATTGTTGTGGCTGAACGCATGAGTCCTGCGACCGAGGACTTCCGGACCGCAATTGTTGCTGCAAATGGGGTACCCGGTATTGACTGCGGATGTGACAAGCGACGGGCCGATGGAAATGCTGAATGTGAGATGGACGAAGGTGGTTGAATTCGGGGAGCACATGTATCACCACGGAAGGAGGTCGTGACGTCAACCGTTACCTGCCGCCGGAGCGGGTGTTGCCCGTCGCCATGCAGCTGGGTATAGCTTGGATGATGCTAAGCATTACTTGGGGTATATCATACTACCGTTGACATATCATCTTGCTGCAGGTGTGTGTCACGTATCGTGGTGAGCGACTGTCCACTTGGCTCCTGCTTGCTACGGTAGCCGTGGAGGCTGTTCTTACAACGCTGCACGCGGCCGGATCGTCAATACATGTTCCGCTCCCAGTCAATGGAAATGCCACAAATTGCCATAAAACGGCGTCGATCCCTGTTCATCGCCTCAAACCCGCATCTGCGGATGGCACTCCAAGTTGTATGCAGTTACGTCCTCACCCAAACGAGAAGGGTATTAGAAATTAGTGTTGGTGTAACGAAGCCGGACTTTGGCTCACATGCGCCGGGAGAACGAGCAGTCTATCAGTCCCTCGCGCCTTTTAGCCAGTTCTTTACTCGTTGCAACCCTAACTCAAGCCACCAAAAGCGTCCATCTTCCCGCCAAATTCCAGATCCCATCAATACCTACCCTTCCACCAACTTTTCTTCCCGCAGAATATGCCCATGCCACCTCCAACAACTCTTACACGTCGCCTTCAAACACGGCTGCTCATACATAATCGTATTCTGCCACCCTCCCTTCCTTTGTCTCTTCGGTCCGCCGTAATGGAAGCGAAATAGCTTTACCTTGCAATCAGTAGTCCTACTCCTCACAACTCCACGGTTGTTGTTAGGCGGAGGTAGCGACAGGCATCGTAACTTCAGAGTCAGCTTTCGTGGTGCGTTCTTGTTCTTTTTTTTGTGTAGCGGAGTTGGCGGGTGGTATGCATTCCAGATGTGTGCTGGTATCTTGACTTTGAGGCCTGTTCGGAGGCCTGTTCGGTTTGGAAAGCTGATATTCTCGTTCAGTGTGTCGGAGTCGTACTCGTTCCATATGCGCTTTGGTATCCTGATCTTTAGACCCATCATGTCTGTAATCAGGTCGATCATTGCGATCCTTTCGCTAGGACGTCGGTTGGCTAGGCGCATTCGCACTGTTGTCGAACTTGCTGTTTCCTCCATTTTCGTGATGCGACAGCAAATAAGTTGCCAGCTACGAAGTTTGTTAGTGTACTTGTTGGTGTCTGATAGCTCGGACATGTGCGGCAAGCGAGACGTTGATGAAAGCATGGCTGCCGGAACAAAGGTGTTTCGGACTGTTGAGATGAAAGCCATTGTCTTGACCATGATCAGATGTCTTTCTCTAATGATAAACCACGTAAATGCTCATGATGCGATGCTGAATGCTAGATGATAGTATGAAAGTCGCGTGAGAACAATCGTCTACTCGTAACACTGGTCCCAAAGGCCACCAGCCCTCGCAAAGCTCTGGCTCTCTACGAATTTACTCAACGTACACCTTCCAAACTTGTCGCCGCCGCAAAACTCCAACGGGTGCACGCGGTCGTTCACAATGACACGGACCGACTCTTCCTTCGCATGCCTGCACTGCAGCTTCTCAACGTAGAGACGGGCGGCGAAAGGTACACTCCACGCTGCTGAATAGCCATGTGTCTTCTTTGTATCCTCGATGGTGGTGTTGGACAGCGGCTTCGTCTTGTTGTAAAGTCCGAGCGCAGCCAAAACACCGCTGATGTCGTTGTCGTGGCTGAAGTCGGCGTACACCTTGCGGTCGAGCGGGAACGTCTTGGGGTCGGAGTCGAGCGTGCGGTTCGTGTTGGTGCTGTCCTCGACAGGCTTGTTAGTCAGACGCGCCAACAGCTCGTTGACGTAGCCGACGCCCTGCGTGGGACCGAGCGGGTTGCCGACGCTGTATCCGTAGTACTTGCCCAGCGTCTGGAAGTAGTCATACTCGCGCCATTCCTTCACCTTGAAGATCTTGCAGAAGTCGGACAGCTTTGCAGACGGGTGTGCTAGTGTGTCGAATGGACACATATCCATCAGGTAGATTATAGACGTCGCGCTGAGGTTCGTTCCGAGAGCTGAGTTGATGCGTTCTTGGATGGGTGGGACGAACTTGTCGGCCCAGACCTGCTGCGCCCTGAGTCCGAGACCGTGATGTGGGCCGCCTTCGAAGGCGGGACAGACGTCGTGGGAGAGGGTGTTGTTCCACGTCGGCCCTTCTGGGATCACCACGTCGATGTTTCGCGGCTCCTCTTTCAGCGACTGCGCAACACCCATAAGCCACTTCTCCGCAGATTCGACTACGCGATGCTGGCCCCCTGACCGCACAAAAGCTACGTTCCCGTCGATCAGCTTCTGGTACCGTTGGTAGAAGTGGGCCCCAGAGTTGACCATCTCCTGCCTTCCAGCATCTGTCAACTCATCCGCACCCAGAGTATAGTCATAATCCTTAAGGAACTCGAATTCCTTCGGGTACGATGTAGTCGTGTTCTGAATTTCGGCTAGGAGGATGTGGTACGCGATCGATTTGCCCAGCGTTGGGTCGCGACCGCCGTGGCGGGAGAGAACGTTCGCAAAGGTGACTTCACAGCCCTTGGGAGGCGCGACGTCGATGTCTGAGGGGACCGAGTACCAAAGCGAGTATTGCCCCCAGAAGTGCGATTTCTTCGGACTACATCGGTAGCCTTCGTCGATGGTGTCGCACGACTTCTTGGGACGAGAGAACGTGAAGAGACTGGCGAGTGTCAGCTTTGCGTGCTCCAGCATGTTGGTGCTTCGTACCCATGGACGCAGTACAAGACCACACATGCGCCAACCACAAGTAAGACCCGGCGCCCAAAGCCCTTCGGTCGCTGTTCGCGTCGGGATCTGTTTGAGAGAGGCTCCTTTTCGCTCATTGGGAGCGGAGCATAGTCTTGCGAGCGATTGTTGCGCATCCTGTTCCACGCCTGCGTCATCTAAGAGATGGTTTGGTGACGATGTACGATGCGAGTGGCATTGACGCGCTGCGTACTTCGGCACTAGATGTTGGGGAATCGAGCGTCAACAAGTGACGTATGGCCATCATGGTGTTTCGGCAGAAGCCGTGACCGCCAAGCCGACGCCCGGGCCCCATCCTCATACTCCGTCAGCACTCCTCGATGCCTTTCACTCGCTGTCATCTGATCTCGTCACATATCTCCAAGGCCATCTCCAAGAACACGCTCTTGACGCGCAATCTCCGGCTAGATACGGTCGCGTCCGCTTGCCGACACCAGTTAGGCCTGTGTGCAATTGCGCGATGTAACGCCGTTCCGTCAGCGCGAGATAGTCGTCGCTATGGCGCCTGATTGGCTTCTACCCCATGTTTTGGCCCCTGTGGACACCACCACCGGGCCTCTTATCTGTGGATGAACCACAAGTAAGCATTGACAAGCTTCCACTGACCTGGTCGCCATGCCTGTTCGGTGCAGCCGACGTCAATGGCCGCATGGCTAAGAGCACGGCTTCGCGCATCCTTCCGGATCGCATCTTCACGTCCATGTGTTTATAGAGAGTGTCTGCTCCATCATCGTCTTCCGGTCATTGGTATCACGTCGCGCGGATCTGGTAGCTACCTGCATACGCCATCATGAAACCCGTTGAACGGCACACTCTGGACGATGAAGCCCAGTTGCAGGCACTCGGACACAAAGGCGAGTTGAAGCGCAACTTCAGTCTTTTGTCTATGCTTGGACTCGCTTTCGCCATCTTGAACTCGTGGACTGCGCTGTCATCGTCAATCGGACTGGCTTTGCCATCTGGTGGCTCTACAAGCGTCATCTGGGGACTCGTCACCGCTGGCATCTGTAACTTGTGTTTGGCCGCATCGCTGGCCGAGTTCCTGTCAGCGTATCCTACTGCTGGTGGACAGTAAGTACCTTCAGTCAGCTTTCGCATCGTCAACTCACGCATCGCAGATACCATTGGGTTGCCGTCATTACCCCGCGGAAATGGGTTCCCCTCGCTTCTTTCATCACCGGCTGGATCAACGTATCCGGATGGCTCGCCTTGACTACCTCCGGAGGCCTCCTCGCGTCCCAACTCATATCCGGTCTCATCGCGTTGTTCCACCCTGAGTTCACGCTGCACGCATGGCAGGTCTGGCTGATTTATGTCGCTTGGACTCTCATCGCCTTCGTCATCAATGCGTTCATGAACAACCTCCTCCCCTACGTTAATCGAGGCGCATTCATCTGGTCTATCGGCGGCTTTGCGATTGTCTGCATTACAGCCCTGGCATGCTCATCTCCTAACTACGCTTCCGCCGAGTTTGTCTTCACCGAGTTCATCAACGAGACGGGATGGCCCGACGGCGTCGCCTGGCTCTTGGGCCTACTCCAGGGCGGTTTCGGACTCACCGGCTACGATGCTGTCGCGCATATGATTGAAGAGATTCCGAATGCGTCAGTCGAGGGCCCAAAGATCATGATCTACTGCGTCTGTATCGGAACTGTCACCGGCTTCATCTTCCTCATGGTCCTGCTATTCGTGTCCGGCGGCGACGCGGAAGCCATCATCTCTGCAGCTCCTGGCCCACTTCTACAAATCTTGTACAACGCCACAAGCAGCAAAGCTGGAGCCGCATGCCTCTTAATGTTCCCATTGATCTGCATTCTCTTCGCGGAGATTGCCATCATGACTACCTCTAGTCGCATGACATATGCATTCGCTCGAGATGGTGGCCTTCCATTCTCCAGGGTTTTCGCCAAGGTACATCCACGACTCGGCCAACCGCTCAATGCTCTGATCCTGGCTGCGACCCTAACCATCCTGTTTGGATTGATCTTGATCGGGTCCAGTAGCGCTTTCAACGCTCTCATCTCATCCTCAGTCGTCGCCTTGGGCGTCAGCTACGCCATTCCCGTCGCAATCAACGTCTGCCGCGGCAGAAAGATGCTTGGACCTAGGGCCTTCGTTCTACCTGGACCATTGGGCTGGATCGCCAACTTGATCGGTATCGCATACACAATCATCACCACCGTTCTGTTCCTTTTCCCGCCTGAGCTCCCTGTCTCAGCGTCCAGCATGAGTAAGTTTCAGTATGAGTTTGCTTGGACCTGACTAACAACGCTAGACTACTGCGTCGTTGCTTTCGGCATCATACTGTTCATTAGTACCTTTCAATGGTTCATCGACGGGCGCAAGAACTTTACTGGACCTCGAGCGGATGTTGATCTCGAAATCTTGGAAGCTATGCAGAGCAACGAGCCAAATGGTGCTTCTCTTCAGCATTCCAAAGTCCCTGGTGACGATATCACCAAATAGTTCAAGCGGCTGCATATAGAATTATTGCATGTGTATACCCTTGCGCAATGCAATGTCTTTCCTGTTGCAACAAGCCTGGATTATGCTCCGTCACGACGCATTTAGTGAAAGCACGAACTAACTCTCCCACAATAGTATTGACACAACGTCATATGCAAGAGTCGAACCGCCACATTCACTACTCTTGGCAATGTTGTTGACGACGCTAAAGCTTCCGCGCCTTATGCACCATATCTCGACCTCTTGTTCACAACACTGTTCCACTCTCACTACCCTTTCCGATACGCTTTCCACGCACATCAACCCTATCGCAGACATAGTTTCACAAGAAAGCCACTCGCCGATAGCAAAGATGTTTAATCCCATCCGCAAGCTCTTAAGTTTCTGGAGCGCCGCCGATGCGAACGTCACCACATCGTCCAACGACGCATCAACCAAGGATGTAGCGACTGAGAGCACAGCGTACCGGGCCGCCTGCAATCACGCCGCACCTCCTACACGGTACGCGAGCGGCGTGTTCAACACCACACCGTCTCCGCCGCCCAATGCTGCGCTATCAGCATACCTGTTCTCACAAGTGAAGAACACCAACACGTCTACATCGAGGATGAGCAACATCCCGCCACCGCCATTTCCCATGTTCAGTGCGCCGACTGGCAACGCCACTGACGACGCTTCTACCACATCGGACGACATCGACATGCCAGATGCTACGCCGATGTCGCCTCTGACGCCTCCAATAACACCAGCCCGTGATGGTGATGATATCCGACCTTCGGTCGAGACACCAGCCCAAGAAGACGTTCACAGCGCAACCGCCGTAGACGACGACACTCGCGAGTCGCACAATGACACCACACCACCTACATCTCCGGAACATGACGACCGTATTCCTTCTCCACCACCGCGCCAACAAGACCGCCAACAGACGACACCCCCATCAGAGCCCTTGCCAAACTGGCTAGACGAAATCGTCATCGAAGAAGACACCCCCGAGAACAACCTCCCAGTCGGCTACATGGGTACATTCCGCGGTAGCCGGCACTTCATCCCAGAATACCCCGGTATGAAACGCTGCAGCAACCAAGTCACTCACCTCCTCCTCTGCGGCCACTGGATCGACAGCACCGAGCCCTGCGGCGGAAACTGCAAAAAGCAAGACCACACCCACAAACAGTTCAAATGCCCAACCTGCAACGACATTGTCCGCAAGATCCTCACAGGCTCCTTCTCGCCCGCTGACTCGATGAGACTGAGGGAGTTCAGGAAGCAGAAAGATGTTAAGTTTCTGGCTTGCTGTGTCGAGCAGGTCGTTCGTGCGGCACCGGAACTCAAGAACGGTGTCACGGAGGCTGTGGCTGGTTTTCTGTACCCGCCGGACTATGTGCGTGCGTGTGAGGCGGCTGAGAATCCTGATCCGAGTGGTCATGATACTATTGAGGGCATTGTGCGTGATATGCAGGAGCGGTATGAGCGGAGGAGGAGGGAGGGAGAGGAGGAGGTGAATACGCGCGAGAAGAGGGCTAGGGATGAGGATGCGAGTAATGAGACTACCGATGCGGAAACACAGTTGAACGGGGATACCGTGGAGGGTCGTAAGCGTGAACGAAACGGCTCATCCGCGGGTGACGATCAGACGCACGACACCGCACCTCCTACCAATAAGAAGCGCAAGACGTCCCTAGAAACTCACCGCGAACCCATCACACCCTCTACCCGCGGCACGAAGCGTCGGTCCCCATTCTCGACACCCTCTCCGTCTTCTTCATCCGACGACGCCGCCGATTCAAACGCCTCGCCCTTCGCATACCTCCCCACCCCCAACTTTAAACCCCCCTCCCCACCATATTCATCACCACCCCCAAAGAAGAGGGTCTTCGAGAAGCCCGATCACGCATTTGGTGAGGCCAGCTTCGTTATTGCGGCGCCTCATGTTGTGGGGCCCCTTATGCGGAAGCGTCATGCTGATGTTTATGTCGAGGGGGATATTGAGCGGGAGAGTAAGCGGAGGAGGAGCTCAACGCGGGTGCAGGAGAACAAGTGTGCGGCAGAGAGTGAGAGCGAACGTGCAAAGATGAGTCCGAACGTGAGTGGGAAGGGGTTTGAGGCTTTCAGAAGGGCGTGGGATGAGAGGGAAGAGGAGGAGGAGTGTGAGTTGTAGGGCGGAGGGATGGGTGTGTGGACGTGCGGGACTTGGGAAGTGTTGATGATGGAGATCGTTGACGGCTCCGAGAGAGTTCAGTTGGTTGGAAGCGGAGGTTTTCCTTGCATGCGTGCTTTAACCACCACGGGGTTCGTTCTTTTGATATATGGTTGAGGCCATACTACAAGCACATTACTATGTGTCGGCGTCTTTTAGGAAGCGATCGCTTTAGCAGTGGAATAATGAATTTCAATATGAGTTTAACACGATTGACGATATGCTCGGCTGGAACAACACCCTCCGCTGACAAGTGTCATCCACATCTTCTTCGCAGGCAAACGTCGATATCAGAGAAAATCTAGGTTCAGAACCCTGGCACCTAGACAATCACGATGCGTATGGCCTGACAAGTTTTGAACACAGAGAAGAAAGTCGTTCAGAGTAGAGGCGCAAGTCGAGGTATCCTGTCTCCTATCTCCGGCGGGGCATGCGGTCATCCTCGTGCCGTGTACACCATGTCGGAAGCTTCGGAATGGTTCCGCGACCGCGCAAAATAATTTGACTGCAATGCGATTACCATCACCCGAAATACATTCGAAAAGATGAAAGCCTATGACTACCAGTACTTACACACAATTCCCCTAATCCAACTACCGTGTATCGCACTTCGCCGCATACCCCACCTTTGCCGTCTTGTTCTTAGTAAGGATTCGCCAAGAGCGTTGTAGATCCCTGTCACAGGCTCGGACAGCCCACCTAAAGCGCTCCAAAGCATGTCACATATCAGTCATCTCCGCCCTACCCTCTTGCGGCGTATATAGCTCCCCATGTGCGCCCCTCCCAATGTTTGCCCAGGACCTTCGAATCGACACTTCTCCCCATAATGGCGCAAATGGCTAGGATACGGGCGGGTCCGGCCGCGCTGCGACTGCGACGGGCGGCTGGTGGCAATCCCATGTCACGTCCGCTTTCACGACCGCTTGCACACCCGACTACGCGACTGTCGATCGGCGCATTACGGACAAGATGCATTGCGACGAATGCTGCGATCCAGGAACCCGATGTGGATTTCCCCGCGGGAGTACCCCCAGTCTCGGTGCCGGCGTCGTCGAAGGTGGATGAGCGGAGGAAGGCGATTAAGAATGCGAAACCTTTTTCTGATTTCTTGACGGATACGTTCAATCGGCAGCATGACTATCTCCGGATCAGCATCACAGAGCGCTGCAACCTGCGGTGTCTGTACTGCATGCCAGAGGGTGCGCTTCCAACATCTGCATAGCAAAGGTACCTGCTAACAAAAAAAAAACAGAGGGCATACCGCTATCACCCCCCGCCAACATGCTCACCACGCCCGAGATCTTCTACCTCTCCTCCCTCTTCGTCTCGCAAGGCGTGACCAAGATCCGGCTCACAGGCGGCGAGCCCACGGTCCGCCGCGACATCGTCCCGCTCATGCAGCAAATCGGCAGTCTGCGCCCGCGCGGCCTCCGCGAACTCGCCCTCACAACCAACGGCATCTCGCTGCACCGCAAACTCGACGCCATGGTGGAAGCTGGTCTGACCGGCGTCAACCTCAGCCTCGACACCCTGGACCCGTTCCAGTTCCAGATCATGACCCGCCGGAAAGGCTTCGACGCTGTCATGAGGTCAATTGACCGTATACTCGAAATGAACAAACTCGGCGCGAATGTGAAGCTGAAGGTCAACTGCGTCGTCATGCGCGGTCTGAACGAGCGCGAGATCCTGCCTTTCGTCGAAATGGGCCGCGAGAAAGACATCGAAGTGCGCTTCATCGAGTACATGCCCTTTGGCGGAAACAAATGGAGCGAGAACAAGATGATCAGTTTTCAGGAGATGTTAGACATCATCCGCACGAAATACCCTGGCCTAAGACCCGTTCCTGGACACAAAAATGACACGAGCAAGACGTACGAAGTACCTGGTTTCGTGGGCAAAGTCGGCTTTATAACGAGTATGACGAACGATTTCTGCGGGTCATGCAATAGGCTTCGCATTACGAGTGATGGGAACCTTAAAGTCTGTTTACATGGTAATGCGGAGGTGAGCTTGAGAGATGTGCTTAGACAGGGCAATAACGGCGAGCCTATTGACCAGGAAGCTTTTGAGCGTATCAGGCAGGTTGAGATGGACAGACATGAGGGCCGGCTGAGCGACGAAACGGTCCTGGGCTGGGGCCAACGCGAGCGCGAACTTCTCGATGTTGTCGGAGCTGCTGTTAAGCGGAAGGCGGAGAAGCATGCTGATCTGGATGATTTGGCCAATGGAGAGAATAGGCCTATGATTTTAATTGGTGGGTGAACTTGGACTCCCTTTCTCTTTTTTCTCACGACCTTCGAGATGTACTCCCCTTCGCCATTATCTGGCTTTCTCCCCACGAACAGTCATGGTTGGATGTCTGATGATACCACGGCGGTCACTGCATAGATGGCGTTTTGAGCGATCTCATTTACTGTCGCTTAGACTTGGATATCTGGCTATATACACCAATCATATACCCGATTCTGTCCTCATCTGAGACCGCCAGTCTGTGATGTACCTTGCTGACCTCATTTAGATGATAAACCCTTGTCCAGTCTGGATCCCCAGTGGCCCACGTTACGAAGACAACCTTCCCACCACTCAAACCCTCTGCTACCCCGATCTAGCACACCCACCTCGCCACTCCCTTTCCTACACACCACCTCTCCTCCCACAACAACAACAACCACCCGCGCCTTCTCAACATCAGCCCCATCCGTAGCGAAGAAAACCTACCAACTCAAACGCCTCGCCAAAGCAAAAAAGCTCATCAAAAACATAGATACATCAAGATCCACAGACGCATTCGGCGTCCAACAGTTTCTAGAGGACGTCGAAGCACCAAATGAATCCGAAAACCTTCTGAGGGATATCGAGAAGAAGATTGCTAATCTACACCGTCGTATCGTGGAGGTTGAGAAGGAGACGCCTCTGGCTTCTGCTTCTGCATCCCAGGTGCCAGCCCCGCCAGTATTGATTAAAGAAAGTGTGGCTGATGCGTTCGATGCCGTTGGGACGGCGGTTAGTAATGCTTCAACGGGTCCAAGAAAAAGGAAAGGCAGACATGAGCGCGAACGAGCTCGAAGACGTGAACAAGAAAGATACCGGAACGAGAAGATGAAGGAGCTTGGTGTGCTGTTGAACCAATATAAAGAACAAGCCGAAGTCGTCAAAGCGGAAGCAGAGAAAACGGCTGAGATGCGCAAGCGACGGGAAGAAGTATTAGCGAAGAAACGCGCACTACTTCGCCAACTACACGAATACGAAGAGGAGGAGCGCAGGGCTAGTCTTGTGAAGAGGGCGGGGATGGTGGATAGGGAGGGCGGGTTGGCGGAGGGGTTTGAGCTTGATGATGTACTGGATGATGCTATGAAGAAGGTTAAGAAGATGCCGATGCATCCGCCGAGGGAAGAGAGGGAGTATAAAGAGAGGGAGATTAAAGATGTGGATGTGCCGAGGGTGAAGAGGGTTCTGCGACCAGCGGGGACGGGGGCTGTGTCGGTGTTGCAGAGGGGTGGGGATGAGATTATGGATCAAGAAAGAGTGGGTGTGGCGTCTGTGGAGGGTGTTGTGGATGGGGAACGATCTGGTGCGAGCGACTTTCTCCGGTCTGAAATGCCTCAGAAACAGACATCGGCCACGCAAAAACCAGTCGATACGGCCGCAGCCGAGCATGCCACCACTCCCATCGCCAACGTAGGAGATCCCTTCCCTCCCGCCTCCGTCCAACAAAAGCCATCAACCAAGGCCAGCAAACCCATCAAAAAGGATACCCCCCGCTCCCCATCATCCCCACCGACCTCAAAAGATGACCTACGTCTCCACATCCCTCCCTCAGGCATTGTCCCCATCGACGCCGACCTAATCCTTTCCTTAGATTCCCCAGTCCCCGCCCTCCAATCCCAAGTCCTCGCCCTCCGCAACCGCCTAAAATCCTCCTACCCACGCATCGACAACCTGCCCTACGACGTCTGGACCTCGTCCAACAAACGCACTTTGCAAACCTGGCTTAAAATCCTCATCAGTCGCTGGAACGCGCGCTTCGATGATGTGGATCATACGGGCCAGGTTGATAAGGGGATTGTGGATGAGAGGGTCAAGGAGGTGCTGGATAGTATGGTTAGGGAACATGATTTGGGGAATGAGGCTGCGGAACGCATGGCGATGAGGTGGCATGAGGTTTTTGGGGGGAGGGGCGGGATGTGGGGGGATAGCGAGGGAGTGTTGGATTGGGAGGAGATGGAGGCGGGGGGGTTGGGGTTTTTGGGTTTGGAGACTGAAGAGATGGACGGTGGGGTTGAAGTGTTGAGTCAGGCTGGTGAAGAGGTGGCTGTGGAACAGAAGAATATTGAGCCTTCGCCTGTGAGGACGGCGGGAAGTGGCGTAACGACCAACGGGGTCATGGGTCGCAGGATGTATTCGACGTCGACGAGACGGGGGTTTTGGTCTTGGTCCAAGATCCTTGGGACGGAGGGGAAAGACGAAAAGAACGAGAAGAAAAAGGATTTGAAGCAGCGTTATAGGACAGACGCCATACCCGAAGCCACGACCCAGCCCAAGCCCGCTGCTCCACCAAACGCCAAACCAGTCGTGAAAACCGATGCGAAAACGCACGAAAAGACCAACACCCAATCCATCGCCAAACCAGACGTCAAGCCCGACCCAAAGCGCCAACCCAAGCGCCCCGCAGAGCCCGTCCCACCAAAGCCCGACGCCAAATCCGACGCAAAAGCAGACACAAAAGATGACGCCAAACCCGACCCTCCCAAAAACATAGAGTACTTACCTCGGATGCATCGGCCTTTCGGTCAGGGCGTAAGTCGTACCGTCTTGCGGAAAAAGAGGAGGCAAGCTAAGAAGATAGAGGATGAGGGACGAATGACTGGGGCACTGAAGCGAGGACGAGAGGGTGGGGAGGAACAGATGAACATCCAAGAGCAAGGGATAGAAGATGGAGAACGACAGCTTGGCGCACATGAACGTGCAGAAACCATATCACTGCAACGCCGGGTGGACAAAATTGACAAGGCTGAGGAAAGCCTGTCTAAAGCCGTGCCACGGCATCATCAAATCGTGGATGGACAAGACGCAGACACCGAAAAACCCGCGTTTGCACGCGTCAAGAGATCCCTACAGTCCCTCTCTGAACCCAGACGCTCGAGACACATCGAACTCGCGAGAACTGAGCGAGCTGAACTCCCTGGGCTGCCCAAACAGCCCGGACCGCCTAAATGGACTGCGAAGCCTTCTTCTCTGCAGGACTTTTTGGATAGCATGAATGAGGTCGCTGCGCATTCGCCTTTTGAGGCGGAACCGAGACAACAGCAACAGCAACAGCAACAGCAGGCAAATCCTTTGTCGGTTCTGGAGGGACGGAAGGATCTACCACCTCAACAACAACCATCATCATCTCAACAGTCCTCTCCACAACCCCAACCTTCCCACTCCCAGCCTTCCCCCTCTCCCTCTCCCTCCCAACCACCACCATCCCTCCCCCACCTCACCCCCTCCGGCTCCGCACACATGGTCTCCGTATCCGCCAAGGAACACACCACCCGCACCGCCATCGCCGTCGGAACCGTGTATTTCACCAACGCCGTGCCCCTCCGCCTCATCCGCTCAAACGCCATCAAGAAAGGAGACGTTCTATCTACCTCACGCATAGCCGGCATAATGGCCGCGAAAAAATGCCCAGATCTAATCCCATTATGCCACCCCATCGCTCTAACCCACGTTGGCGTTGAACTCCGACTTTTTGGTGATAAGTCGGATCCGCGGATGACGGGGAAGGAAGGGGAGATGGAGGGGTTGGGGGGAATGGAGGGAAAGGGGGAGGGGAAGGGGAAGATGGGCTTTGGGGGTGTGAACATCGAAGCTAAAGTCCAATGTACGGGGCCGACGGGTGTGGAGATGGAGGCCCTGACGGCGGTTATGGGCGCGGCGCTTAGTGTGGTGGATATGTGTAAGGCGGTGGATAGGGCGCAGAGGGTGAGTGGTGTTAGGGTTGTGATGAAGGAGGGGGGACGGAGCGGGGAGTGGAGGGAGGGGGGGTGGAGGAGTTGGCAGGAATGAAGGGAAGATGGCTGGGTAGAAGCGGGTGAGTGTAGGATTGTGTAGTTGTAAGAATATAGGGGTGTGATTATATGTGGTTCGGAAGTCTGCGTTAATGTGGCACTCTCTGCTGTTTTGACTGTTACTTCGGCCTTTAGGGGGTGCATGGAAATGACTAGACACAGCATTTGCTTAGTGTTCTGCTTCTCTCTACGCTTATGGAGAACTGGCAAGGTATCCAGGGGCTTCGCTTGCGACTCTTCTTTAAGTTTGGTGATACTTGATTAGCTTGACTGTCCCACAATAGCGGATAAGACAGGATAGGAGAGCTATTGAGAGAAGCGTTTACATGTACATGCACGCCCTTCGACGGAGTGAGTCAACTCCACCACAGCAGTGCATGAGTCACGATAGCTATTTAATGCAAAAATACCTCCACACGATACTGATTTTGGTATGAATTGTGTAAAAACCTTTCTTAAAGGGCGTGTACATATGAACTGATCAGTAATCCAAAGGCAGCATGGTATGCATTAACCATCAGCGCCTTTGCGACTCCTCTTGTCAGCCTTGCGTACGCACACATGTCCATGCAGTCTGCCATCGATGGAGGGAACGCGCAATACCGGAAACTCTACTATAGTCTGCTATGGCGAATAGCTGGAGCTGACATGTGAAACAGACGCAGGTAAGGCACCAGACGATCCCAGGGCAGCGATAGTGGCAGCCCGATGTGTAGCGCGCGACGTGATTGGTCGTCGGACCCCATATGCCGTGTAGTCCGTGCGGTCCGGGCAAGGGTTCAAGCTAGTGACATCACTTTCTCAACATCAGTGGGGGATGGCCTCGAGACGTCACTCGCCCGCGCTGCTCGACTGCGCGCGATCTCCAGCTGTTCTGCCGCTATGAGTATAGAGCAAGTCTTAGGACCCTGAGCGCTTGAAACTGCGGGTCCCAAAACAACGTGTTGCATGCTACCGTAGAGTTTGTCGGTGTGCCCTCTTTATAGGGCGCATCGCGCCTTCCCAAAGCAGGGTTTGCCTGAATTGCGCCAATTCAAGACGACGACTGCCACGCAATTTCCCTCATCACTGCCACCAAGCGCGCCATTATAGTCCTCTCTTCCCACATCAACCGCACCTCCACCACCACACCGACCTCACCACATGCACAACTAAACAGCGATCGCATCCCCGCCATGACCAGCGTACTAAAAGGCGGCTTCGGCTCGCCCAACGGTGCGCCATTAATCGCGACCAACTCCGGCACCGAGTTCGTCAACACCGTGTGCCCACTTAAGAGCGCCCTCGATGGCTACGACAACACGCTCCCCTGCAGCAAGCAGAAGATCCACGTCCCGCAGAACTTCTGCGACGCCATGGCCATCCGCGAGGAGGTCTACGGCGAGCAGGGCGTCCCCCTCGAAGCCGAGTTCGACGAAGACGATGCCCGCAGCTGGCACTGGGTCGCTTATGCTTCCGTCGCCACACACTCAACCCACCCTCCCAAGACACTGCGTCGCTCCGACTCTGGCAACACTCCAGCTGATGACGCCCGCCGCGCCTCAGCCACCGCCACCCGCGTTCCCGTCGCGACCATTCGCCTGATACCCCCACCCCACGGTCCAAACAAGTACGTCGAGGACGACAAGACGGACAAGCATGCCGATGCAGACCCACCGGGTGAGGAGCAGGAGAGTAAGCACCCGCCCGAGCCATACATCAAGCTCGGCAGGCTCGCAGTCCTAGCGCCCTACCGCAGTCTCGGCCTCGCGAAGCTGCTCATCAACGCCGCCCTCGACTACGCGGGGTCAAATCCTGATCTCATCTACCGGCCTCCATCTCCCACCGCGCTGGAGATGGCGCAGATACTCGGCAACAACAAGGAGCGCGAGATTACCTGGCAAGGCTTGGTCATGATCCACGCCCAAGCCAATCTGCAGAGCATGTGGGAGAAACACGGTTTCCACGAGGAGTTGAAGAATGATGATGGCGACGTTGAAATACCAGCAGAACCCCACTGGACCGAAGAAGGCATCGAGCATGTTGGCATGTGGAAGAGGCTGCCGATTGAGAAGAGGAAGAGGTTGTCGCTTTCTTCCCTGGAGTCGGGGTCTTGAAAAGTTTTGGTTTTGTTTCTGGTTTACTTACACATGTTTGATAGGTTCTGGCTCGGAGACGTGCCGAACATCTACGTCAGGCCATGATTCAGGCCATGATGTTTACGCTCATTTTACGAACGGAGGATTCAACATTGCTTATACCCCACACTGCACGATTACGACGATACGGCCGGATTTCAACATTATCTGTTTTTTGCGAATAGAAGAAGATGAAGAGGCAAGGCAAGACATAGAGGCGTCATGGTACATGGCTATAGACTAGTAACGAATCTCTTCCTTCTACTTCTCACATTTCATCCACGTATGCATTCTCAAGAGTCCCGTGTCGTCCTCTCTTGTTCTTCCATCCCATTTCTGTCTTCTAGCGAACTTTCACGTCTTGGTATTCCTTCACTAGCCCGAAACTGCAGAAGCGAACTCGGGTCCTACGCAGTGCCTGTTGGTATGCGATTCATGCGACTTCCTCTTAGCCACCAGCCGAGTAGTACCCGCACGGCAGAAAGTTGCCGATATGTAGTGTGTTGCGCCAGAGGGAGACGCATCCCACCAGTGCGACCACGCACCGACCACACACCGGCCTCGTCACATTCACAGAACGTGGGCACAGTGATACAAACGACGCACTAATATACTTCCCGCTGTCAGAAACATTTCACTCGATGCTTGAGTCGCGAAAGTAGCAATTCGGTACCTCGCATCCCGGGTTGGGTAGGGGTGGAGGAGGGGAGGAGGTGGAGGCCTCTTCCCTCTGCTTCTGTGCATGTGCCTATCCGTCCGCCTAGCCTACACTGCCGGCCTCATTGCATTTATGGAGTGCCGGCACAGTACTACAAACGACACACTAAAGTTCCTCCCGCTTTTGAAACCATTCACTCAAACGTTCCGCTAGATCACATCGCAAACAGAGCAATCCAGTACCACGCATCCTTCCCGTCTCCTCCCTTTTCCTACCACGTCACATCACAACGGAAACCCGCTGCTGCTCCACTGCTTCACCAATATCACTTCGCACCACACTCGCTTCAATGTCCGAAGACACCCCCACCAAACCCACTTCCAAGGCCAGTCTCCTCAAGCTCCTCCGCCTATGCACTCGACCCGTCGTCATGCTTCCGTTTCTGGGGACCATCGGCCTCGTACTCATGATCACACTCACTGTGCTCCTACCGCAAAATGTTCACTCCATCGAGATCCCCGGCGCGGATAACAACCACAACTACCTCGTCGCCGTCTCCCACTTCCCCTTGACAGATTCCACAACAAAGAATCCTTACCACCCGGATGAAGACCGACGAGTCATGGTCAGCTTTTACATGCCTGTGCCTAGGAAACAGTGCTCTGCAATGGGCACGCAGGAATATATGCCGCCGCAAACCGCGAAGATAGCAAACGAGCAGTTCATTGAAGGCAACGAGCGTGACGCAGGTGTCTTCGAAACAATGATATATTCGTCTTGCATCAGCAGCAGCAGCGGCGGCGGAGGTGACGTCAGCAAAGTCCCCGTCGTAGTCCTAGAACCACACGTCGACACGAGCAGGTTGATGTACTCAACAATGGCGCGCTACATCGCCGCCAACGGCGCTGCGGTCGTGGTCATCGACCACCCCGGCGACGCGTCAATCGTCCAGTTTACATCCTCGCGTACCCGCGATTTGGACATAGTGTATAACAGCGGGACGGTGCCTTTATCCAACCTGTCCCCCCTCACGCAATATAACGCAACAGTCCGCACCGCAGTCGAAACACGCATATCCGATATCGCATTCGCCCTCAGCCAAATAAACAGCACATCCTTGCTCACCCGGCAATTCCCCTCCCTCCACTTCTCGGGTAGTCTAAACACAGAAACCTACGGTATCATAGGCCACGGTCTCGGCGGCACAGTCGCAACCTCCCTCAGCCTCTTCCCCACCCTCCTCTTCCCCACCCTGCTCAACGCCACAAACTCCCCCACCACTCGTTTCTCCATCTCCCTCTCCGGTACACCGCCCCTCCTCGCCTCCTCCACAAACAACACCCCGCTCTTCTTCTTCGGCCGCGCAGACTTCCGCCGCGAACACGACATCAACTGGCCGACCACCTGGTCGCATCTCACGGGCCCAGCCACCGAGTTCGATCTCGACGACTCTGCTATTTTCGATGCGAGCGATCTACCGCTGATCATGGAGCTAGCGCGGGAAGAGGGTGGGAAAACGGGGGTGGTGGGAAGGGGGCTTAGTGGGAATAGGCCGGCGGAGGGGGCGAGGGCGGTGATTTGCTTTTTGGAGAATATTGTTAAGGAGATGGTGGGGTAAGTTTTTTTTGGGATGTAATGGCGCTGGAGGTGGAAATGGATGCTGACTTGTTCTTAGGCTTGATGATCAGGGGAGGCATGTTGGGGATTGTATTAGGATGTTTGAGGGGGTTAGGCCGTATCCTGGGTATGGGAAGTAAGAGTGGGATAATTTCATAGTACGCTGATTTTGCTACTTGGGGAACGAGTATGTGCGATCATGTTTTAGACACATGATCATCGTACATGCAAAGGTGGAACGCTGCTGTTGTTTGGGAATGTTTTCCTCGAAATTAACATTGCGCATAGTACTCGTGTGTCGCCGGAATTGTCTAAGCGCCGCCATGTCCTATTCCTGCACTTCCCACTTTGAACGCTTCTTGAATGATGTTCCATACCTTGCGAAATACTCATCAAACGCGTCGGCTAGGTGATCTATCACGAAAGCTTCTATCAGATCGCGACTCGTCATTATCCAATCGGCAATGCGTTCATACGTTTCCGGTACGCCAGATTGATTAAACAACTTAACCAAAAACTCCCATACTACGATTGAAAAGATCGGAAGTATGCTGAGTATAGGTATGGTCGCCTTATTCGTACCGTTTTCGACATCGAATTGATCGAAAAGTGCCCTGAGCACCAGGGAATCAGTCCAGGCCGAAAATCCGAGTGCACAAGTTTCAAGTGACGGTTTCTGTTTGAGAAAAAGTTCCTGGTACATCCCAGCGAGCTTGGCCACCGTCGCTGTGTCAATACCAAGAAATACCGCCATCTTGGCGGCAACATATAGATCCGTTGGGGGAAAGCGGTTGGCTTTCTGATGAGACTCAAGGGAGGGCTCGTGATTGGTCACTGTTGTCGTCGCGTGTTCTGATGTATACTTGTTCCTTTGTTCTTCCAAGAGCTTCACTCCAATGAATCCCAGCCGACAAAATCGAAAGTCTTCAGGCAACAGGTCGGATGTATGTGAGTACAAGCTCCACATCCTCGCCCCTTCATATAAGTCATCCGATCGCCTTGATGGATTGAGCCTGTGGGTCTTGGGGTAGATCTCGCGGTATATATGGAACATTTGATGCTTGAACAAGTCCAACAGATTGTTCTTCGCCCGGATGTCTATCATGGGACCATCTTCCATGTTGAAGATTCCTTCGTAGCAAATGTTGAGACACATCAACGTATCTTCGTATCGTTTCGTAATGAAGAGGCCTTCGAGATCCTGTAGAACACGATGATGACAATGGCGGTGAAGAATATCATGGAAGTCCAGTGCGTCTTTCAGGTATGGCCTGAAGAAGCATATTGCATTCTTCAACTTAACCATGCTAAAAGAGTAACTCCAGGTTGTTCCCTGGTTGCGAAGATCCGGGTCGAATTGTCTGACGTTTAATGGCTCGAACATGTCTAAAAGATCGCGAACATGTAGACCGAGTCTTCGCATGAAGTCTGAAACGAATTGACTAGTGACGCGATCAATTATCACAGGATGCAAGCCGTCGTTCCATTCGAATTTCCGAGAGCGAGGAAGGCTAGATGTTAAGCTGGCTACCGTCGCTGAGCTTGATAGCCCTCCCGGTGGTATATCGGTGTAGATCGACATCTCAGAAAACTTCTTCCGAACGGTGCACGTAAACTTGGGAAGCCTTGTGCGGTCGTGATGTTTTCTCAAGATTTTCATGCATTCGAGGCAGATGTCACCAGTCAAGGTTTCGCACTACGGACAGTGTTAGCCAGATATTGAATGCCAAGTTGTAAAAAAAACTTCATACCTTGCGTTTGCTTTTGCTGTAGCGACATCCAAAGCAGGATGATTTACTCTTGTCTGGACGCCGGCTATAGACTATTGGCTGGTACATTTGTTGCTGACGATCAGCTTCTGGGTTCGTGTGGAAAATGACGTTTTCCATTTCGCGGCCTGGTCTTGAATTCTTCTGGTAGGGGCTGGCGCTCACGCTTTGTCTGCTTTTGTCACGTTTGGACTTTCCTCTGATAGCTCTAGTACGGACGATAGGGCCGGCATTACCTGTCATGGCAAAGTTGTTCGTTGCCATAAGACTAGTCTTCGCCACCGGTGGTAACTCATGCATTGTTGTAGCGAATGGATGACTATCAGATGGATTTACATCCTCGTTCGATGTGGGAATGGCACGAGGAGGATCTCCAGTGCCGTAGTCGAGGTTGTTGATCGCGTATGTTGGGAACTGGCTTGTGGCAACAGGTTGTGGTTCTAGAACCTGCAGTGAGAGATTCGATTGTTGGTGATGGTATTGAGTAGGGGCCACGAGGGGATAGGGCTGAGTTCCATGGTCGTATTGACTCAACATAGATGGCATCGTGTTCTGATGCGATGTTACAAATGCCATCGGATCAATGGCAGTTTGCTGACTATGTGCCGAGTGACCGAAGGCACTATAATGAAGGTATCGGGAATTTAGCAAAGTCGTGTCCTGATGGTCGAGCTCCCGGGCATGATTGTGAAAGGCATTTGGGTAGGTGATGCTCTGCGATGATAGCTGTTCAGACCATGGGCCACGGTTGAACTCGTATTCGTTGCTACCATCATTCGAGATGTAGCCGTGATTGGGTACCTGAAGTGGGTGCACAGGCATGTTGGTGTATTTATAGGCCCCAGTATACCCCGTACTCGTCTCATCCGTGACAGCATCTGGGTAGCCAGTAGCCACTGCACCTAAGTGAGAGCTTGCGGGAAGGGTTGATGCATTCTGCATGATCTCCCAGCGTCGTTCAGTATACTGCCATTCTGCCCGAGCAAGCTCTCGTTGCACACTTTCGGGTAATTCTGTCTCATGTACCCGATTGTGTCTGGCAAGCCCCGATGATGGCTGGATGAACTGTGGCGGCACCAGCGACGATGGCTGAGGGGCGTATTGTAGGTCGATGCTCGTCGATGGATCATGCAACACCATGGCATCGTCTGACGGTGGAACGTTGTATGCAACAGAGTTGTGAGCGGTTGCTTGGAGCGGTACATCGGGTGGTCGGTAGATCCATCCCGTTATATCTTCGTCCGGTTGTTCGGGATCGGCGACAAACTCGCGATATTCCATGTCGAGTTGGCTCGCAAGCGGATTTGACAAGGCGCGGAGGAGACTGGCTCCCTCAAGCGACGAGGCAGGAGCAGCGAGGTGCTAATAGTGTATTGCACGGCTGCGGATGTGCAAAGCTGGTCGAGCGACCTGTGAGGATTGGAGTGATGAGATGAAAGTCGACATACTGATGAAGTGGTGGCAGCCTTGTGCTCTTATACCGACGAGACGAAAATTGTTGTGTTGAAAGACAGGCAGAATCTGAGGGGTAAGGCTGAGTGGTAAAGGCAGGAGGACGTCGCCAACACCTTCCGCAACCCAAAGCGGACTAGGCTACTCCATCTCACATGCGCTGACATCGCTCGACCCATGCTTCCGCACCTCGAAAGGTGCTAGCGTTTTTTTGCTTTTCAGCCTTCTATAGTTCCGCAACTCAATAGGGATTAGCACCACGTAGACATGCATATCCTTTTCCTTCCGCAACCACATCGGGGTGTGCGAAGACATCATACTCAAAACTTGCGATGTTGCTGCGCGAAGCCTTGATGCCTCGACTGCATCGTGTCGTGCATGTAGATAAGAAGACAGAAGTCGCACGCGATGCGATGTCCTGGAGAGCGCCTGGGTAAACAACAAACCTTTCCCGGCCTTCGGAGATCCAGCGACTATCCTTCCCGCCCCACAGCCCGTAACAACGCCACTCGGGTAAAACCACCACCACCCCAGTCATGTGGACCAAATCAGACGTGCTTGCCCTCCTCCAACTTCTCGTCACGATCATTCTCGCAACAATCCAAGCTGTATGGTGTTTGACCATTCGTCGAGGTGCGCGTCTTGTTCTTACACAAGATTCGATGCTGACAGCACTGAAGTTGCCATGCGACGTAGCGCGCACAATCCAGCCTGTCATGATGGAGATGAGAAGAGAGGCCAAATGCAGCCACAGCCGCAGCTACGGACACCGTCAAAGCCACAGCCACAGCCACAGCCATGCAGGTGAATGTTTTCCTCGAGTATCGCAGCGCAGCTATATGTATACGCAACAGCAACATCAGATAGACGATTAGTATCGCCTGCGCTATCATGTTGGTAGTTCAGCTTCATGTACAGGACGGATGAGAAAGGACATGAGACGCGCTGCATTATCATTATACCCAATAGCAAAACCTCATACACATATTCTCCACCCCCTTCTCCTCTCCCCCTACAGCCTCGCCGACTCCCTAACCTCCAACCCCCCCGCAATCCCGCGACTAATATAATCGCTAATCGCCATATTCGTAACCATAGGATTAACCCCACTCGCACTAGGAAACACACTCGCATCCGCCACATACAGCCCCTCCGTACCCCAGACCCTGCCCTGCGGATCAACAACCCCATCCCTCTCCCTCGCACTCATCCGACAAGTACCCATCTGATGCGCAGACACATACACACTCTCCGGGCTAGGCAACCCCTTCTGCCTTATCTCATCCAGCCAAGCCACAAACTCCGGGTCGTTGATACCGTCACCGGATGAGGTTGAGGTTGAGGGATCGCGGATAAACGGCCGCATGTTGGGTATGACGGTGAAGATCTCGGATGCGCCTTCCACATACTGTATCTTCGCGAGCGCAATAACGCCCTCAAGCACATGTCTCTTATCGTAATTACTCGTCTGATACGAGAACCTAACCCGTCCATCCACCGGATCCGGATACACACGCCCCGTATCCCGATCTCTCGCAATGGAAATATACCCAACCATGTGTTTCAGCTTCGCAGCATCAATCTTATACTGCATCGCCGACTTCCAGTCCACCCACATCAGACACGCGGATGGAACCATGTTTGTGGCTTCGAGCTTGACGCCGTGGCCGGCGTTGTCCATGTTTTCAAACTCGGAGACTACGGATGTCAGGATGCCGCCTTCCCACGGTTTTATCTCTTCGGTGTGGTAGGCGCCGAGGAAGGTGACGGGGTGCAGGTA